CTAGTGGCAAATATGAAAGACGTCGTGGCACACTTGAAGAAAACGAATCCCATTCAGCTCACCGGAATATTTGAAATAAATAAAAAATAATACCATTCTAGCGAAAAATTTAATCTTTGAGCACTAAAAATTCCAAAGCGATTGGTCCAGTAATCAAAAAGGTAAGCGATTTTTTCTTTGACAAAGAACAACAAGAAGAAGAAGAGTGCAAGCATAAAATGCAAAACGATCGTTATGTCCACTAACGTGTCCAATTATCAGATATCTCACGGTAGAACGAACAGAGACCTATGTCGCAGATAATATGTGTTCTGTGTGTTGAAAAAATCAGAAGACTCTAGTTTATTGTACGGCAACTCCACAATATAAAACCTAACACAGCATAAACGGAGGACACAGCAACACAACCGACCTCCAGCCCAGCGGTCGGAGAAGGAGAGCGAAAGACGTAGTTTTTTTCTCACGTGCAGGGAGTGGTCGGAGTCCAGAGCCGACAAAACAGCATTGAACAAGAACCAACACAACAGTCCACAAACATAAAAATATATATAAACACGGACACTATAGCCCGTGACAGAGGTCCTCCCTTGTTCAGAATGAAACTCAACAGGTTTTATTCAAAAAAAAAAAAAAAATCCTTGCCCTAAATGTGAAACAATTAGGGAAACTGCACTAATTAAAATCAAAAGACACCAAATTTTTAAAAATTTGTGTACCCCACCCCTTTCAAACTAAAAGATATTGACCAGAAAAGCTCTCTAACATGGCAGCATAAATGAAAGGAAATTAAAGTTATCACGAATGAAATGGAACACACAATATACCACGAACATTTTTTTTCTCAGTGGTTATTTCTCGAGTTTGTTAAGTCGCTTTCAAATGCAGCCGACAAAAATAAAACTCAGATAGTTTTCCTTCTGTATCTACACATCCGTCATCTCAGCAACTTGAGGAAAAAGTTCCCTCCCGGATTTACTCCTCCCCGCAGGGCCCCCGCTTCGATATGCAACAGTTACTGGCTCATATTGACCACACAATGGGATTCTAATCAATCAATCAATCAATCGTTTATTTTGTCATCACAAAAAAACACGTTCAAACATGAAGTGACATGATGAATAAATTACAGTACGAATCATGTTTTTGTGTGACCGGAGTCGCGAGGGACCTAAGAAGGTCTTCAAGCAGCGACACCTACAGCGCTACAGGTTAGAATAAATATAATTGAATGAGGGATAAAATGAATAAATCCTAGGAATAAGTCACAACTGATACAATTACAGCGACATTCGAAGTGTATGCGATTATGACACAGTAAAACAGAAAATGTAACTTTCACGGAATAATTACTAACAACTAATAAAAACGCGAGGAAAGCAAGATAAAAGCACAGAAAAATTATAGGAAGGGCAAGTTTGGCGGAATATGCAACTAAAAGCAATATAAGGCAAACAGTAAATCGAAAATATTTACAGCAAATGCAATTTAGGAGACACTTACGAAAAATTGATAAGGTCTAATGAGGAATACAAACAAACTATTACATCTATATAATGTACATAATAAAGAGGAAAAGATAAAACGGCCTGGTCATTGAAAATAATAGCGAACGTAGGTTAAGGGCAATAAGCTATCGCTCTCCACTCTGAACGATTTTTGAATCAACTATTAATGTAGCAGATACTCTCGGATTCCGACTCCTTGCACCTATTTTCGTTCGGGTTGATTGACGTTAGCCAGTGTAGGCCAGATCGTTACGGTAATAAAAAGTAAGCGATCTTAGTAGAAATTTCAATGGTTACCCGTACTGGTATAAGAGGAGAGATAATCACCGATATATTTATTTTTTAGGTCTCTTTTAAAAGTGCAATATGCTAGGGATCTAATGGTATTAGGTAAAGCGTTCCACAGTTTCACACCTATATATTTAATGGATTTCTGTGTTCTGCTCGAGGAGTACCTTGGGACATGGAATGAACCTGATGAAGCCGATCTGGTAGAGTAGGAATGGATATTACTCTGCTTCGTAAAAAATTCGGTGAATGCCATGGGAAGTTTGTCATCAAAGTACTGGTGCATGAGTTTCAATACCTCAAATTCATGAATATGACCAAGTTTAATTATTCCACATCTGTGGTATAAAGGATCTAGTCTAGACCGAAATGGTGCGTTACATATGGATCGAACTGCTTTGTTTTGTAAAACCTCCAATCTTCGAAGGAGAGTAGTCGATGCGTTACCCCATGATATGATACCATACTGTAGATATGACTGGAAAAGAGAAAAATAGACCATTCGAAGGACTGGCATGGTAAGAAATTTTCTAAGTTTGTATAACATACCAGTTGCACTTGCCAGCTTTCCAGCAACATAGTTAATATGGGTGGCCCATTTCATTTGATCATCAATGTGGATGCCAAGGTATTTAAATGAGTTCACATTTTCGAGTAGAGATCCATTAATGCTAATCTCAAGTCGAATTTTATTTTTACGATTATTTTTGTGGCTAATCAATAGGCATTTAGATTTTTCGACATTAATCGTGAGTTTATTGTTAGTCATCCAAGTTGAAATTTTATCCATTTCAGAGTTCATACCCAATTCCAAATCACTTGGAGAAGCTGAACTTCCAAACAATCCGGTATCATCAGCAAAGAGTTTGACAAGCAAGTTAGTGGCGTGCGGAAGATCATTGACGAAAAGGAGGAACATTAATGGGCCAATTATCGAACCCTGTGGAATTCCACATTGTACAGTTGCAAGCTCGGAGCAACTTGATCCGATTTTTACACACTGCTGGCGATAACTCAGATAGCTCTGGAAAAATTTTGACGCGTGGCCGCGAAAACCATAATGGTTCATTTTTCTAATTAGTATGCTATGGTCAACGGTATCGAATGCCTTTTTGAGGTCAAGAAAAATAGCACTGATAAATTCCCTACTCTCTAACTTATCATAGAAATAAGAAATCATATCGAGAATTGCATGATTAGTGGAGTGTTGTTTTTGGAACCCAAACTGGGATTTGTTTATAATGCCATGTCTTTCTATGAATTCGGTTAGTCTAGCATGTAAAAGCCTTTCAAATACTAAAGTCAATGGGGATAGAACTGATATTGGACGATAATTTGATGTACATTCTTTATCCCCAGATTTATATACCGGTGAAACTTTGGCAGTTTTCAAACTATGAGGGAAAATTCCAAAGTCTATAGAGGCATTAAATAATTTACATAGCAATGGGGAAACTATGTCAACAGCATATTTTAGAAATTTCGCTGGAATATTATCATAACCAACCGATTTACCATCAGGTAAACTTGCTATTGTGTAATATACTTCATTGACGGTTATTGGTCTCAGAAAAAAAGACTCTTTTATTGGATTCTTAAGGTTGCTCAAAAAAGATCCAGTGTGAGGGATTTTTTCAGAAAGCTTAGGGCCTATAGAGATAAAATAATCATTAAAATAGTTGGCAATAAGATCTGGATTGCTTACTTTCTGCCCAGTTTCTGTTTTTATTGCTTTAATTGTAGTTGTTGATGTTGTGTCTTTTTTTATATTGACCAGTCGCCCAATTAGGTTCCACGTTGATTTAACGTCGCCACTGACTTGTTTAAATTTATTAAAGTAATACAATTTCTTTGCTTTAGCTATCAAGACTCTAAGTAAATTGCTGTAAGTTTTGTATAATCTATATTTTGTGTCGCTACCATTTTTAAAATATTTTTTATGCATTTTCTGTTTCGTCTTAATTGATACGCGGATGCCTTTAGTCAACCAAGGTTTAGCTAGAAGTCTATTCTCTCGCCGACTCAGTGGTTTCATTGGTGCATTGGCATCAATGGTTGATTTAAATATCTGAATGAATGAATCGAATAAAATATTTAAATTATCAGATGTAATTTGGCAATTCGATATGGGGTGCAAAGAACATTCTAGGTCAGATCTATAGCTATCAATAGAGAAATGTCTCATATCTCGCCTTAGTAATCTGTTTTTATTTATCTTACTAACGGGAGCAGAGATTGTACATAATTGTGCATAATGATCACTAATATCACTTAGGATGACAAAGCTTGACAAATCATGGTTAATGGAATTTGTAAAAATATTATCTATCAATGTACTGGATGTACGAGTTACTCGTGTTGGTTTAGTAATTAGGGGCAGTGATAAATTGGCAAGGTGTATATCAATATACCTCATAGTGGCCAGATCTGTTGAATGACTCAATAAATCAATGTTCCAGTCACCCAGTAGGATAAATAATTTTTTGTCCCTATTCAACTTTTCTAATGCATTGGAAATAGTTTCGGTAAATTTGATGATATCTTTTCTGGGGTGTTTATAGATTACTCCAATTATGAAAGAGATGTTGGAATTTAGTTTTAAGTTGATCCATAAATCTTCACAGTCTGGATGTTCTAGATCGTATTCATGAATCTCACAAAAACCAAGGTCTCGAGTAATATATAGGCCAACTCCCCCAGCAATTGTTTTGGAAGGTTTGTGAATGAATTCATAATTATAAATGGAAATATTTGAGGTGGGAGTCGCACCAAGCCTCGTTTCTGAAATGGCAATGAGATGTGGGGGTATAACTAATTCAGATAATAGATTGACAAGCTCATCATGATTTTTTTGGAGAGATCTAATATTTAGGTGAAAAGCAATAAAACAATTTCTTGGCATGGACCTACTGGTAGAATTCAAATCGGATACTTGTATATTTGCGCATTCACATCTACTTATTTCGCTTAGAAATTTGGAATTCTGGTCAAGTGCACTATGAACCTTATGGTTAGATCGAGGGGGAGAGATTCCATTCAAACACGAATAACAAAAATAAGGCTGAGATCGTGGTGCGCGAGGGGATGCGGAGGCGAGAGCACATTCAGAGTGGAATAGTTTGGCACATATTTCACAGTTTGTTTTAGTTTGATCAGATAATAATAGTTTGCTACATAAATGACATGTTATATCAGTATTAGTCAACATAGAATAAGTAGAAAATGGCACTCACATAACAGTTATTTGATTTTTGACAGATCTTCATCACATCTAATATTTAGTGAGTTTTTGACATCGCTGTTCTTTTTCACGAATACCTTTCCATTTGAGGTCCATATAAATTTGTATCCGCAGTTATTTTTTGCAGCTCTAGCTCTGAAGTACAGATCTTTATTCAGAGCCGTTAGATTTTCTGCAATAAATATTTTTGAAGGATGTTTAAACACTGCGCTTGATTTTATTGATCGCAGGGACTTTCTTTTTTCAAAGATCTTCATTTTGTTTTTGCGGTGGACGAATTTTGCAATTATGGCAGGAGTTCTAGTATGTTGGGCTCCTGTTGGCATTCTGTGTGAAACAGAGATATCGGTGGCATGGATGTTAACGCCAATCATCTTTGCTATGTTACAGACTATTTCATCCGTATTCTCATTTTCAGTGATGGGGACTCCATGAAACTCGAGATTCTCTAGACGCCCGCGTCTTTCTTGATCTTCAAGCTTCTCCGAGACATAGTATAGATCGTCTTCCAGATCATATATTCGCTCAAGAAGATTATCGATAGTTCTTTTGTTATCGGATACTTGTTTTCCCAAGATTTTGTTCTTATTTGCGAGGTCATCATACATCTTGGTATGAAATGATTGGCTTTCTTTTATTTCAGCTAATTCTGATCTTATTTCTCGCATGGACTGGCTCAAATCACTGAGTACTTCTTGGATATTTGGTGTTATAGGGGTTAGTATATCAGAGTTATCTGATAAGTCATAGTTTTCCTGGAGGCACTGGCCTACCATGGCAGGAAGTTGCAAGGTGATGCCTTGTATTATATTCCTTGTTATTAGAGGAAGGATTCCACTCACTATCTCGTTATGTTGAGATATGTCAGATGTTGTTGACACGTTGAGCGGAGCTCCTGCTATCCCGGATTGTTGCTGTTCTTCTTTTTTGTTACATTTTGTTGTTATTACCTTTTTGGTCTTGCAAGGTGTTTTTTCTCTGGGTGGTGGTGTTGGTGGATTCATATTGAGTTTAGAGTCATATACAGTATACTGTATTTAACTATAACCTGTGAGATCTTAATCAAATAGCTAACACTGCATGGCTTCACCACTAAAGTCAATACACTCGATATCAATTCTGAATACCGGTCACAAAAGTACAGCCAGCTTCAACCACAGCATACATATCATTTTTCTTTACCAAGGGGGGACAATTTCATTCCCCAAATTCTACTGCAGCTTTGAACGCACAGTCTTTCCACTACTAGACATTTTCGTCCGCTATATCGAGCTCACTTGAACGAAATCCGAGTGCACAATCGTGTTCAAACTTGCCCAGATATTGCTCTGCTCCTCTCGGAAAATCTGGGCATGGCCCACTTGAAACATCGTTGCTGAAATCAGTAATTTATTTTATCACCAAGAAATGCACACTGTACATACAGAACGAGATAAGAAAAGAGAGGAAAATAATGCATTTCAGGGTGAAAGGGGACGCGATAAACCAGCATTGGTTATCGAGCAACGACACCTATGAATAGTCTAACATTGCGTCATACAAGATTAAAAATCGAACTAAATATAGTACTAAAGTCAGGAGTCGGACGCCAAAATACTAACATTGGCAGAAATATGTTTAGAAAGACCGGATATTTCCGGACTCACTAAGCAAACGACTCCGAACGCGAAATTAATTCTTCCGTTTAGTTTTAGCGACCGGGACCGAGCTTCCGTCAATAATTTTGTCCAAATACTGGCGTGCTCGCTATTGTCACAGTTAGAAAGATGTTGATCAAATCCTGGCGTGATCGCCATTTCAGCAGCCGGAGGAAGAGAGCGAAATACGCAGTCTTTCTCTCGTGAGTAGTGAGTGGTCGGAGTCCAGATCCGACAAAACTACATTGAATAAGGGTAAACATAACAGTTTATACCATAAAAGTTTATAGACACACAATATAAACACCAGCGAACCGGTTAGCATTACTGTTACTGTCAATGTTATGTTTGTAACAGAACCGGCTGAAAAATATGACTTTCGTGAAGGAACTGGCTGACAAAAAATTTGAATCCCACCACTGTCTGTGACATAGGGTAATCAGAGGTGCGATGACGAGCGTGTTCCTTACGCTCAGCACGATGCGCCACGCCGCTGAGTTCATGTAACTCTGCATGACTACGTGACAAAAAATCAGCAAAGGAATGAGGTAATCACAATACCCGAAATATTTGGAAATGGGTTAAATACATTTCGGTACATCAATATATTTGAGGCACCACAATTCTACCGCAATACATGGTTTTGGCGAAGTTCTTTAAAATTAAATATACACTACAGGCATTCACTCGCGCACTGGTGGAAAATACCCGGTACCATTCTTTATCAAAACCAGTTTCTAGCTAGTCGACGTCCTGTGTGATCTGGCTTTTACCAGGAATTTGCTTGTTTATTTCTGGTTGTCATTTACTCCGGTTCGGTACAATTTCAAAAGTATCAAAAATATAAACCGGTGCAATCCTGTTACTGCTCAATAAATTTATTTTCGTTTTGTTTGATTCTGTTTCTTTGGTTTAGTTAAATAGGAAAGCGGGACAATAACGTAGCCAAAGATAAACAGAATCAAATAGGACAGACTGAAAAATTAGGGGTGCGGCAATTGGAGGGCAGATTATCGTAAAGTCGTTTTCAAATTAGATAATAGAATCTTGAGTGTCGCCGCTCGATAGACAGTTTTGCTTCTCTGCGGGTTCCCTTCCCCAGTTTAAGTGTGTAATTATTATTTTTCTCGTAAATTGTGTGAGATAAATTTCAGATCGGGGAAACTGGACTATTAACCGAACAAAAGAGCTACGGCTGTGATTAAGACGCCTTGTTGGCTTCCCCTGGTTAAATAGGACAATTGTATCCTATTCTAACTAGTTTTCGATTTTACCGTTTTAGTACCAGAATTGAGTATTTCCATTCATGTTCAAGTTTATTTTTTTATCCAGTAAAAAAATACAAATTAGGTTATTCAAGGATAAAAAGCCAATTTTCAATCTTATATTAACATTTTATTGCTACGGTACAAAAGCAATGATTACCAATGTTGTATTCTGGCAAATAACACTTACATAATCTCACGAATGAACTCGGAAACGAGCGATATGCTTGAGTAAACAAACGAGGCAATGGAAAATTTTCAAAACTAAACCACGTGCTGTGACGTCATCGGCGCGAAAGGACGGTCTCGTCTCGATCTGGACGGTTGTTAGCTTCTGGAGGTGAGATTTCGAAATTTTATTTTCATTCAGAAAAGGATGTTTTGTATTTATGGAGGGGGGAGATGAATCCGATGCGACGGCTTGAATTATATGGATTTTTATAGGTTTACCAGTCCATGTCAATTATGGGAATATTTTGGCGCCAAATCGTTTCAGGTCCTCGTACTTTTGCGTTTGATTTCGCGTATTCAGGACATCCGCGACTGGATTTGATTAATTTACTATTATTTTTTTTGCCAACTGCCGGTAGCTCCGATCTGCTATACGGTATTCAGTCTTGGAATAGTAAAGTTTATTTGCATATTTTATAGAGCTTAGTACAGTCAGACAGTAGTAGGATATCATATTTGCCCCTCCACAATCTGCAGATCTGACATTTCTGTTTAGTCATATCGGATTGGGACACTCAGACATAACTGCATTAGGATAAGTTATGCTATTGCCACACCTTTCTCTCTTTATATTACCATAACTGTATTATTACAGTATTATTCTATGAACAAATCATCCCAATCGGCGCGGCGGTGTGGCTCAACGGGCTAAGCGTTAGGAATACGCTCGCCACCGCACCTCTAATTACCGGTACTCTGCCTGGGTTCGCAGGTTCGAATCCCATGCAGGGATGGTTATGTGCGAGAGGATTCCTGGACTCCTCGCCGTCGTTGGGTGGTTCAAGTAACCGCTGGTTGGTTACGGCTTCCTCCACGACCAAGTCCATGCTTCCGAAAACAAACAATACAGTAAAACTAATCCCATACCCGACTTGGAATGGTAACCGGACGAGAGGCCGTGGTTCTCCATATGGATAAGCCGTCTTATCGGCTTTCCTCTCCCCCGGGATAAATATGTAAATCCTATCCTATCCAATCTTAGGTGATTCATTTTTTATGACTTGTTACATTTGTTATGCCTGTATGCTGAAGACGGATCCGTATTGGACTTGGAAACAGAATAGACTACGGTACTGGACTACAAGAAACAGTTTAGAAAGTGAGCTAATACAGTAATAAATCCAGTATGGCACACTTTACTTATCGAGAGACATTGTTTCGTTTCAAAGAATCCCATTTTGCCAATGAACTCCTTCCAGCCTTCCTTTTTGGGGGACATCTGGACATTGTTGACCCTCAATGCAATACAGCAATATCGGCAAAAATACAGTAAAATGAAGTTAGGCAATAGACTACAAAGAAGCGCGATCTAAACACGTCATCATCGAATTCGATTTATCGAAGGAAAAAATTTTTTACCGTTGCATTCGAGAGTTTTTATAAAAAAATGGCAATTTTGATCACATGATGGCCGCGATTAATTTAGATTATTATCGCGACAAGCATGGTGCGATATGACGCATCTGGCGTTGTGCCAGACAACTCTCGTTTGTGAGACACATGGAGTGTTTGGGACATTCTTAGAATTTGAAAAGTATGCCCTACTGAAATCCAATGGTGATGTTTTTAGATCGCCCTTGCTTTTAGTTTATTGCACAGTGCCAATTTGTCGCTTTGAGCTGATTATGGGCGCCCAGACTGGGAGTCGCAGTTCTTACCATTTCTTGACAGCTCCTGCCACGAACGAACCGCGGTGGCTCTTGTCATGGTTTATGGCGCTATTAAAGTAATATCTGTATATTCACAAAGTCATGTACCAGATTTAAGTTTATCATGCGAAAATATATCCACTTAAACCTGAAACCTAACCCTCAAATACATCTAAACTGTATCTATAAAAAATGTTCCAACATACCCAATATGGGTCACCATCAGGGCAGCCCTGTCCTAACCATTAAGGTGTATATAACTAACGGCCGACCTGCCGTGGTTAGGGCAGCAAAATTTTACTTGTCATCGGTTTTCAATTTGCAGCCGCGGTAACGGTAGCTCGCCATTGGTTTGTGGCAGTCAAAAAGTCGGTCACCGTGAGTTTGGCCATAGTGGCCGTGGTTTGGAAATACCGCTATGGTTTTGCGGCAGCTCCAGATGCCGCGAAATGCTTAAAACTGCACTTGCAGACTGGAGGGGCTGGCGCTCACTGTCGTAATTAATGCCTTTTAATGTGGAGCTATCCACACTTTTAATGTGGAATGTACATTTTCTTCAAGTCAGGGGCGTGAAGTCTGATTTACCCGGGCCTGAGCAGATTCGTATTCAAACTTCATAGAGTTCTTAATTTCGCAAATTTGAAAGTCCAAGTCTCTATTACCGACTTTCAATGTAGATGGAAAATGGCTGCATTTCCAACAGAAAACTAAGAGCAAAGTTTGCCAAGCGCTCTGTGCATTTTTTGTCTTCAAATCTCAATTTTCTAGGATTTCGGAGTTGATTTCAAATTTTTTACAATACTGTCAAATCTTTTCTTAACCCACTGTCTGGCAGTACGGCACACTATACAGATCGAGCGACATTGTCTCGTTTCAGAGAAACCCATTTTACCTGTGATCAGACACCCCTCCTTTGGGAGACGTCTGGACATTGTTGTCCCTCAATATCGGTGAAAATACAGTATAACGAAGTTGCGCAAAATACTACAAAGAAGCGCAATCTAAATACGTCATCATTGAATTCCTCTGGAGAAAATAACCCGCGTTTCAACGAAGGAAAATTTTTTTTATCATGGCATTTGAGAGTTTTTAGGAAAAAATGGCAATTTTGGTCATGTGATGGCCATGACTAATTTAGCTTATTATTGCAAGTACAGTTTTAAGTATTTTGTGGCGTCTGCAGCTGCCGCAAAACCATGGCGGTATTTCCATACCATGGCCCATGGCCGCTACGGCCAAACCTAACCGAATGACTTTTAGCTGCCGTTACCGTGGCAGCAAATTGAAAACCAATGGCAGGTAAAATTTTGCTGCCGTAACCACGGCAGGTGGGCCGTAAAGACAGGGCTGTCCCTTATGGTGACAAATATTGGGTAAGTTGGAACGTTTTTCTTAGGGATACAGTTTTGATGGATTTGGGGTTAGGGTCTGGTACATTAATTTACGAATATACCGTTAATACTGAAAAGCGCTATAAAACCATGGCAAGAGCTGCCGCGGTTTGTTCGTGGCAGGAGCTGCCATGAAGTGGTAAGAACTGCGCCTCTTTTATTGAGACAAGCATAGCGCAATATGACTCATCTGCTGTCGTGCCAGACGCTCCTTATTTGTGAGACACATGGAGTGTTTGTTTTATTGAACCAAATGGAGCGAAATTCTTGGAATTTGGATAGTATTTCCAGACACCATAATCCTGATACAAATATTCTATTCGCTTTGGATATCTCAGTAGGGCACAGTTTGCAGATTCCACAATGTCCCAACATTTGGTTCAATAAAACACTCAATATGTCTCTGAAACATCTGGCATGCAGCAGGGACGTTAGTTCGCACCATGCTTGTCTCAATAATAATCTTAAGTAATCGCAACGAGTGCAGACGCCAAGTGACCAAAATTGCGTTTATTCTCACATAAAGGAGGGAGGTTGCACTCACTGTTATAATTGATGTCTTTTAATATAGAATCGGAGAATCATGCTATACTGTATATTGACCAGTTTTCTGATCACAAATTTATATTTCTTCTTTAGGAATTAGATATTTTGCTTAGTTAATTTGGCAATTACGGTAGAATTTGTTTGGGAAAACATAAAATATGGCACAGCAACAAGCAGACAGCGACATCCCACGTTTTAAATTGGTACTTGTTGGTGATGGAGGTGTAGGTAAGTCATATGGGTAGATTAAAAAAAAGTTTCTTACATTTTGAATATTTTTAAGCTGACTATTATTCCCTGAAAATTAGAACTCGCGCAAATGCAGTTCTAGGGAACCGGTCTCTTCAGCTCCTGTGGAGAGGTAAGTCATATGGGTAGATTAAACAAAAAGTTTCTTACATTTGAATATTTTTAGGCTGACTATTATTCCCTGAAAAATAGAACTCGCGCAAATGCAGTTTTAGGGGACCGGTCTCTTCAACTCCTGTGGAGAGGTAAGTCATATGGGTAGATTAAAAAAAAAGTTTCTTACATTTGAATATTTTTAAGCAGACTATTATTCTCTGAAAATTAGAACTCGCGCAAATGCAGTTTTAGGGGACCGGTCTCTTCAGCTCCTTTGGAGGCTGTCGTGTTTGCGCAGATATCAAATACATTTCAAAGTTAAAAGGTCACTAAGAAACGATTTTTGACTGTTACCGATTTCTTGGGAGAAGTTGGGTTCCTTATATTCTTCAAGGCTCAGAATGTCTTGGCATGGACAATTGAAAAGCTTTTCATGATGCTCTTTCATGTCTATTGCTATGAACACGGCCCTCTACAGGCAGGGGGCCACTGATATCTGCTACAGGGACGGTGACTCCTCTACAGCCCATGGGCCGCGGCCCCATCAGTAAATATCAATTATCTTAACAAAATAGTCCAGTAGTATGCGTACCAGGTCAAGGATGGGACAAATTTTCGTTCAAGTTTTTCACATTATAGTTCTATTTTGAGTTCGGGGACTGTCTGTGTTAGCCAAGTGATTAGTCCTTTTACACAACTTAATTCGATGGGCCGTGGCTCCGGCCCATGGGCTGTAGAGGAGTCACCACTTCCACTCGATATCTGAGGATATATGGAAAGACGGTAATCTTTCTTGGTTTTAGGAATAGTCTTTATTTGGAAAATCATTGTCTAAGTGAGGAAGCTTACAGCCAAACCAAAAAAATAACAATGGAATTGTTGAATATGAACTAATTTAATGACCTGGCCCGAGTGCAGTGATACGTTTATCAACAATGCGCGAGGCTTGATGTAGTGATTGTATATTTCGTTATTAAATATATGTTAAATTAGTTGTAACTTTAGTCAATGAAAGTAGAGGCAAACTTGAAATTTCAAACCCAAACAAGACAACTCAGGCTTGATTTTTAACGTGTAAATACAGTAGAAAACGTGTATGGATTGAACGCCGGGTAGTCCAGCAGTAAAACGAAACGAAAAAGAAAGGATAAAGTACATTTTTACTATAGCGGAATATTTTATCACAGCGATCGGGCCTCTCGATTTGTTGATATATCTTTAGCCTCATGGGCCGAAACGTGTGTATGCCATATAGAATATATTCTATATTCGGTACTCCTGTTCCCGTAGTATGTGAACCAAGATGGCGGACACCGGAATGTAGTATGTGTACCAGGTTAGGTTTAGGCCATAATTTCAGGTACTACGGAAGTTCCCAAACTCGAAATAAAACTAAAATTGGAAAAGAATTATGGCCTAACCCTAACCTGGTACACATACTACGTTCCGGTGTCTGCCATCTTTCTGCACATACTACAGGAGCGCCCAATATTCAAGAATATTATTTTAAAATGTGTTCTATATGTATGATGTTTTATTTGTCTTGCCTTCTTTGGTAATGGGTTTAGTTTCCCACTATAAATTGCAATTTTTTTTATTGTTGTAAATTTCCATATGTTAAATAATTTATTGAAAAAAATTTTTAGGCAAGACAACGTTTGTCAAGCGTCATCTTACTGGAGAGTTTGAAAAGAAATATGTGGCAACCCTCGGAGTAGAAGTCCATCCGTTAAGTTTTCACACAAATCGTGGAAAAATTATTTTTGATGTCTGGGACACAGCTGGACAAGAAAAATTTGGAGGCTTGAGAGACGGATATTATATTAGAGTAAGTTAAAGTTTCTGAACCCGAGAAAAATTTCGATTTTGAAGTTTTTGGGAAGGGAATTTTACTTTGTACTTGCGTGTTGACTTAGGGATGCCACTTTTGGATTTATGGATCAATTCGAATCGCATCTTTTTCGAATCAGATTTACGCGGCTTGGTAACAGAGAGCGATTTACCGAAAAATAAAAACATTGAATGTTTGTTTATCTTTGTTTTCGGCGGCATTTAAATCTGCCGAATGCGTTTATGCGGCACTCCAAATAACACCAATTGAGCAAACATAGGCGTGCAATGAGAAAAAAAAAGCTTAATGGAATCAGATTCGATTCGAGATTCGATTCGAAAAAAAGTGTATCCAGAACTGGCAACCCTACGTGTGGTATCATTTATATTTATACTTAACATGAAACTCAAAAAAAAAGTTACTTTTTGTAAGTGGTCAGCTCATACGCGCATAACTCTGATCGCACTCAATCAAACGAAATGACATTAACCTAATCCAACTCGAACCATGCTTGAACTACATCACTTGTGTGATTTGTAGGGTCGGCTTATATGCGTATTTTTAGAAGTTCACCATTTCAGGGCCGTTTTTAGGTGTTTTATACAGTATTTAGTATTATTGTAATGAATATGAATATGCATACGTTAACTTATATACCGTTAACGAAAGCCAGAGTACAAGTTGCATGCATCGCAAGCCAAACGTAAATCAAGAATAAGAAGTGCAAATTTTTATGCAAAGTGGGAAAAGACTTGGGAGCTTAAAAGTTGGCCCAGAGAGAAACAGGTCAATAAAGGTGTAGATGGAGCTATTTAAACTATTTCTGGCATTTTTTTGGGGGGGGGGGGCTGATTTGATTTGTCTGGGATTGTGGAGTCAGGAGATAAGAGTTGGGCGCATTCTGGCTGGAGTAGTATTTTCAAACTTTTCAAACCCAGAGTTGTGCGTTAAAATTCTGAATTCTTGGAGTATGTGTTGGCATTCCAGACATTTGATAGTGATGAATTCTGAATAAGATGGATTTTTTAAAGCGTCTTATACTCTTATTAACAGTTTATCAAAGAAGGCTTGCACTCACAAATTTTTTTGTTATCGAGCCTATGTCAAAATTGTGAGGTTTTCCAATGCAAGGAACCCAGGATGGCAAATACTATTAGGGGGAATAAAATTAAAGGGAATAAAACGGAATGTCAGTTTTCAGGGGGTATTTAATGGTTTTGGCCTGTTTTTATGAGTTTTTTTCAAGTTTGGGATGGTTTTTGCATGTTTAACGAATTTTTTGTTTAAAAGTCTTTTTACAGTTCATAACTTTATTTTCTCGATTTACAGGGTCAATGTGCGATTATTATGTTTGACGTGACGTCCCGTATTACGTACAAGAACGTACCTAACTGGCATCGCGATCTGGTTAGAGTTTGTGAGAATATTCCCATCGTGATGGTTGGAAATAAGGTAGGCTTGATTGATATTATGGTATTGCTTAGATTTGTTTTTTTCTCCATACTTAAGGCGCATTGGTTTAAGGCAGTGGTCGGCAACCACCGTGACGCGGCCCATCACTGGTCCGCGGAAAGGTAACCTAAAAACGGACAAGGTCTTAATAATACCTTTACAATCTAGCAACCACAATCTCGACGACTAAAAAAACAGCAAATCAGACAAATACAACGCAACAGGATTGACTTCCCAAACAATTGGCATGTCAGTATGTCGCAATAATGCTGCGTCAATTGCGTCTGTATAGAAAAGTTTTACATCAATTCGAATAAGATCTCTCACACAAAATGATTCTCGCTGACAACGTGAATGCTGGCTCGCAGCTAACTTGGATTTTTTTACAAAAGCGTTTGAACGCTACTTTCCTAGCGCAAACGAAAATTTTTTAAAGGAATGGATACAAAATTCCTCTGTAAATAACCCTAACGAATCAACAATGAGATTGTCTCATGCAAAGCAGTTGATTGAAATTTCAAATGATTGCGGTCGTTTGGTCAAAACTCAAAACGCTCAAATGGATACCCAGACATAGCTACAGAAGCTTTACAGGCATTGCTACCTTTCCCGACATCGTATTTATGTAAGGCTGGGTTTTCAATATTGACAACTACAAAAGCGATGTAGGAAACGTGTATCACTGTCGACCATATCTCCGAATTAGGAACAGTTAATGGCCAGCAAACAAACGCAGATCTCGCATTAAATAGCATCACCTTTGTTTTAGAATATAGTGTTTACGTAAATTTTCTGATGCGTGTAATTTATCACATAAGCTTAGTTCGTTTGTGTAAAGGAAGGTGGTCCGCCGAAGTTTTGGTCAGGTTTTACCGATCCGTCACTCAAAAAAGGTTGCCGACCAATGGTTTGAGGTCTACTGGTGTTCAGTGGCGCAGCAAGCGGGGGGGTTTGGGGTCGAAAACCCTCTTTTAAATTCCTTTAAGACTGAAAAAGTCACTGATAACTTGCATTCTACTAAAATCGCCGATCATTTTCGTTAGCGCGACATGTTATTTAGGTTGTAAGCACTTTCACATCAGTGTTTATTTTTCCTAAATCACAATTTTTTATCAACATAAGTATGTGTTTTGAAAATCTTGACTCCGTGCCTATCGTTGTTCGTTTTTTAGTATAGGCAACTAAGTGTAAAGCATGCCCTGATCCATACATTTGGCGCACCGATTTATTTTGATAGAATTAGGAAAAAAAGTACGCCTTATGCGCTTTTATGACAGTATTTTTTGAAGAAAATTTGCTTGAATGTGCACACACTTTATGTTACTTGTTCAGTTTACTGTCTTAAAAGCAGTAATAGGATTTAAAATTTAAGAGCAGTTTACAGTTTATCTTTTGTATCAAGCTCGTTAACAACATTCCAACAATACATTTTAATGGCGTCAAGACAGAAAGACGGATGTTGAAATTTAAAAAAAAGCTCATTCCAAAAATTGAAAAGAAATAATAGGAGCCTTCAAGCTAATATCTAATCATAGTTTGAACTTGATGGTGAAGTAAGCCATAACTGACCTGATGTTACATGAACTACCTCAAGACAGTGAGGTGTCGAGCGATCCTCTCGCACGTAATTCTCTCTCACAGGTTTTGTAATGCCGAATCCATGCAGGGTAATCAGAGGTGCGGTGGCGAGCGTATTTCTAACTCTCAGCACTAGATTACCGCCGAGCTGATCTTTTTCTATCTACTTTTACTCAGGTTGACATTAAAGATCGCAAAGTGAAAGCAAAGGCAATCGTTTTCCATCGAAAAAAGAATCTGCAGTACTACGATGTTTCGGCCAAGTCCAATTACAATTTTGAAAAACCATTTCTTTGGTTGGCACGAAAATTATGCGGAGACGCCAACCTCGAATTTGCGGAAATGCCTGCTCTGCAACCACCGGAGGTCAGCGTAGATCAAGAAATGATAAAAAAATGGGACGCGGAACTTGCTCAGGCTGCCAATGCACCTCTACCCGAGGAAGAGGATGATTAATTTAAAAAAATCCCCCTCCCACCTTTTGAAAAAAATATACTCAATCTTATGTATGGTCGAAGTGTTGCCACTCTGAGCCTTTCTTTGATGGCAATAAACTCGGCAGAATTTTATGGTCATTACTCCCACCGGAAATACTCTCTTGTGCCTCCTTGTGTATAGTCTCTGCAGTATTTTGTATTATTTCACCCTACTGGAAAAAATACTCTCTACTGCCTGCTTGTGTATAGTTTCGGTAGCATTTTGTGTTCTTCCGCCCCACTGGTGAAAAATCTCTCTACTGCCTCCTTGTTTATAGTTTCGGCAGCATTTTGTGTACTTTGCCCCCACTGAAAGAACTCTCTACTGCCTTCTTATGTTTGGTCTCTGCAAAATTTTGTGTTCTCCCACTGGGAAAAAACCCTCTACTGCCCTCTTATGTTCCTCCCCCACTAGAAAAACTCTCTATCACCCCTTGTGTTTAGTTTCTTTTTGCATCTCCACTGCCCTCTAGCATACAATATCCCTTTTTTATTAGCCCATGCTAGCTCATCTTGTTTTCGTAAAAGACGGCGAAATTTTGTCGTTTTACTATAAAATAAAATTCAGTGCCCATTATTTCACATTGCTATAGCAGTACTACTGGGTAGTTTTTTAAGGAATTTGAAAGTTTCTATCGGCTACTTAATAGTTCTCACTAGTCTCGCGTCTCTAACTTTGCTACATTTTGGAGATTTTAAAAAAAAATGTAAATTAAATCCAGATTGAATGATTTTTCCAATATTTAGGAAAATATGTTGAATTATTGCTAAATTTAATATTTCTTTGGGGATTTGGAATTACATCGATTCTCTGAAAGTCTGGTGTCACCTCTCAGTGTGCTACAATCAGTGTAAATTTTTTTGACCCAATAGAGTAGGATATTTCCAGTCTGTGAGAAATTTAATTCCAGCTGCTATACTAATCATCCGTAGGAAATTAAATATTCTATTTTCTTTTAAAACATTGCCAACCGAACCATTTGCACCATACCAGGTCTGTGCTGTTTTGGGATATTTGAAAAATTGGAAAAACTTAGTTTGCAACTAAAAGTTGTGTGTGCGTGTTTTCAATCTCTATACTAATTAGGCCATTTCAAGTAGACAATTTAAACATTGGCTGAATTATATTGTTTGTCCCTCTGCATCAGGGGTGTGCAAACTGGGGCCCGCGGGCCAAATGCGGCCCGAAAGAAAAAATTGTGCGGCCCGCGGTGATTTTTGAATTGTATTCCCCGCGAAACGAGTATTTAGTTCAGATAATCCGGTATAATCTGCTAGCAAAATGGACGATATATATATTACAAAAATATGTTCCTCACTGAATTGGTTTAAATTTAAATAACAGTTTCTTCAGACGCTCATGCGTTTTAACTCGCCATTTTTGCAAGAAAGCCTAATAATGCCGTAAGATCATTAGTAAAAATAAACAATTTTTGTGCTTGCAACTACTAAAAGGTCTTTATTACATAAAGATGCGGCCCACGGCTTCAACCGGTTACTTGTATTTGGCCCGCTCATGACAAAGGTTGCACACCCCTGCTCTGTATGACATGACCCTCACGCTCTCTGTGTGTGCTGTTTGTGTAAACATCTAAAACCTAGTTTGCAATTCTCCTCTCCCTTCTACATAGACAATTAAAATATTGGCTGAAACAAACATTTGCTCTTTACTGGTTCTCTGTGTGCCTTATCACTGCCCTGGTGAGGTTTGTCTTTAAAGACAATTTAAAAGTTGGCAAAACTATATCGTTTGCTGATGTTGTTTTGCAGGAATAAGATTTTGAAATGCCAGCTAAACTATGTTGATTGCTTCTTAGTGTTCGGGAATATAATTAAAATTGTGTGTATTATTATAGATTTTCAGTTTTTTGCTACATTCGTTATTTTGATTTCATTCCCCTAATGGTATGTATGAAAACTCTGATTTCCGATATATAATGGATAAATATCTAGTGATACATTCGACATGCACTCTGCTCTTTATATAATTTAAATATAATTGAAACCAACATAATTGGTATTTGAATTAATGGGTTTAATTCATACTGGGACACCAATGTGCCATAATATGTATTACATTAATACTAAAGTCAAGAATATTAGTAATATCACATAAATATTCCCTGCCTCAAGACAATAAATTTTTTGTTGGGAAACTCCGGTATAGATAATTGTAACATTGGCCCAATTTATTTATATATCATGAAATACTATCTGTGTGAGTAAGACAGAAACAACCCTGGTACTGATCCCCACTATGAAGCCAAATTTTGTTTTTCGACGCTGAAATTTTTCAAACAAGTTCAACTATTTCAATTTCTTATGAAAACTTTGTTCAATTTATGTAGCCACATACGTTTATTTGGGCTGGAGAAAAATAAAATAAAAATTTTAGTTAATTCGCATTGTGTTGCCTTATCTGTGTGTTTAGAAGTGTAGGCTGTTTAAAATGCTGAGTACTTAGGATAGGATTTAACAAATTTGTTCCAGGTGGAGAGGAGAGATGCTAAGGCGGCTTAATCATGTGGTGAACTCACCGGTCCATGCCAGATATGAAAGTTGTTTGTGAACCGAGGAGTCCATAACAGTCAATTGAAGTTTTAGACTGTTGGAGTTTGGGCAGAGAGGTGGATTCCTGTCTTATGCCTTGTATGAAATTACTAACGCACGATGCGCCACCACACCACACTGCTGAGTTGATCAGGGCTACTCAACTATTTTGACCGAAGATCCGCATACAAAACTAAAAAATATTTTCGGTCCGGTCTTTCCAGAAATTATATCTTAATCCTTAAACGCGCACTTCCTCGGCCGAATAACGATTATTAGCTAATCAAGATTGTTGATTATGGTGTTATAGTTCTTTTCATATATATTTAAAAAGTGATTTTATAATAGGAAACTTGAAGAGTGGGGCTAACGATGCAAAATAAAGAATTACGTGCGGTCCGAATCCAATACTCGAAAGGTCGTCCGTCAGTTGAGTAGCCCTGGAGTAGATTATGCACAGCCTTTACCAGGAGGTATTGCGCATCTTGCTAAACCTCTGGCAGGAATACGACTGCCCTCTGATTACCTCTTGTGTTTGAATTCTGGGAGAATAATTATGTGATTGATAATATATCAAGTCCATGCATCTGAAACAAATAACTGGCTAACTAAACCCATACCCAACATGCACTGGTAATCGGACAAAAGGCCAGGGGTTCGTCATATGATTAGTCTTATTGGCTGTCCTTCCCAAGGGATTCTCATACTGTCATACTAGAATAGTTGTAACACCTGGTACTAAAAGATTCAACTAAAATAGGTCATCTGTGGTGGGGTGATAACTGGATGATTGTAAATAACTAATCTCAATAAATCACAAAGATCACTACTGCAGCCTTCTGCACCACTTGAATGGCTAAGATGTTTCACCAACCTTCTGACTTCATAACCAGAGGTATGTGGAGCGGGCTAGGTTATAATTAGGGCTGGTAATTTCAAATGAGAATTTGGAATCACCGCCATCTTGATTTTTTTGTCTACTGAAGGTCTAGTTGAATTCCTCAAATCTTTTTATTGAAGCGGTATTTTTTATATACAATCTTGGCCTTCTTTTTTTTACTTCCTAGCGAGTTATTGGAAAAACATGTTTCTTATTGTGTATGAACACTTGGCGAACTGTGTGGGCGCTACATTGTACTCTTGGTAGCTTGGGGAGTATTTATGTGCCTGGAGAACCCATTATAATGAGAACGTCATATACAATTAGTAAATTACAATATCTTCCCAAGTATTTGAGATCCGATTTTGAAAAAAATATTCGCCTATGAAATCATTAGATATTTAAGAAGGCATCACTAGTATTCTTACTTACATAACCTCTCCATCCAGCTTCAATCGAGCAGAACTAAAGAAAAGGGATCAGTAACATAATGACTGGAATTGAGCCATAAACATCAAATGAGACTTGTTAATTCAAATTCGTGACTAATCTTCGTAATCTTAGAGCTTCAATCCTGCCCCCCAACAAGGAGGAAGAGCCAAATTCGAATACCTTCTCAATTTAGGGCAAGTTCATGTGGGAAATTACATGAATCATCACATCTCATCTCAAATGGCATAATTATAAGAAGGCCATTGTTTTTTTAGTGTTGTTTCTTACCAGTTGAGATATCATGCATTTTGTTTTACTTGTCTGACAGCTCAAAATCCCTAATTTTTAAATATGAATATTTTAAATTATTCCTAAATTCAAAAATGTACGGTATCTGAATGTACTATATAATGAATTTTGGGTGCTCCCGAAGTATGCGAACCAAGATGGCGGACATCGGAACGTAGAATGGGTAACAGGTTAGGGTTAGGCGATAATTTTTTTCCAGTTTTCCTTATTTTAGTCCTATTATCAGTTCGAAGACTAGCCAAGAGCATCCCGTAGTACTTATACCTAAAATTATGGCCTAACCCTAACCTAGTACACATATTACATTCCGATGTCCGCCATCTTGGTTCGCATACTTCGGGAGCCCCGAAATTTTGATTTGTTTTTGACACCCCTTCTCCAACTCTTGCAAAGAGACAGCTCACTTCAGTTTCGCTATTGATTTGGTTTCTGCGAGACTAACTACTTATCCTTCTTCTATGCTTTTGTGCCGGTGGATCCGTATGCATATAATGCAAAGATGAAGAGTAAAGATAACTATCCTAAGTGATTGAAGAGTCTTGCTGCACACTAACACAAATATATTTCTGTAACGTTTCGTCTGACTAAAGTCAGACTTTCTCAGACATACATCGTTCAACTTTGGTCATACGAAACGTTACAGAAACATATTTGTGTTAGTGTGCAGTGAGAATCCCGAATCACCTAGGTTACTTCAGTTTTGACTGAAATTTCTACCTTCTTTAGCAACCTCCAGATTCCAGTTTGGAGCAGAGAAGTGTGTTCAACACATATCACAATATTATTTTATTACACAATCAATCTTTGGCGTATTAAATGATTGTAAATGGTATTGGCTTCATTGCACAATGATTTGGTTTGAAAATTAAACTTCAGAACAAAAACAATTAGGATGAATAAAAGTTGAAGAAGAATAAACATATGGGCGTCGTTTGGACAGGGACACATAAATGGAATATTGTCAGTCAATGATCAAGGGGGCGCATTTACAAACTTTGCCGTGGGCTCCATTTTACCTAGATACGCCACTGAACACATATCACAAGATCTTTTTGGTTTTGAAAGTTAAATCAGGCCTATGCTAAAAAGGGCTCCTGCGAAAAAAACGAAAGGTCTAAGATGCGAGAACGAGCAGAAATAAACCATGCATTATACAAATAATATTCTGTGATTTACCGTATGTGTATAAAAGCTCCTGCTTATTAAGTATTGGTGCATAATAGGGGAAAGAAAATAGGACAGAGTTATGAAAACCAAAAAAAAAAATTATCATTGTTAGTTTCAATATTCTGGAATTTCTAAATAAATTTAAACTCAATGGATTTACTTCATTACTTATCGATCTTGATAAGTATTTGTTTGTCTGTTACATGCACGTGATATCTCACGAAAGCGAGGTTGAATCTGCTCCAAATTTTGCATGTGCATTCATCATATCTCGGACCAGAAGCCTATTGATTTTGGATGAATTATGTCGTATAATTAACCAGTTATTAATTAATTAGTGATGGGACATGGGGTGTCACTATAGAAACATGAACCGCAGTTTCGATCGATAAGTCTTCGGTCTCCAACCGATATTCTCGTTTATATATTAGGATGTTCAGTTCTGGCTATACATGCGGGGGAGTAGCCAGGGGGGAGAGCCCCCCCCCATTTCAAATGTAAAAAAAAGTTTTTCTGGTTAGATTGTTGGACCCTCAAAACTTCAAAAACCCAGATTTTCCGGCCGGATTACTACAGTCTAACTTGTCAATTAGATATTTCAGAACCCCCCTTTGAAAATTCCTGCATATATGCTACAATCATCAGAAATAGGGTTCTGGGGTCAGAATTTGCAGGCTTAAACATTGGTACACCAGTACTGGTAAAGAAAAGTCAAATCTTTGTTAAGTTTGCTAATAGTTCCTTCTAGTAAAATTGCTTGCATACAGTAAAGTTTTTGGGTAATTATTTATTACACTTATGGGGAATTGCAAGTGGGAATAAACAATATGTAAAACATTACACATAGTAGACACAATGAACGAATATTATTACACAACAAAATCTTGATAACACTAAGCAAAGAAAGATGGCCCATGCAAACTTTTTGTAAATGTATAAGGCGCAAACAGTGCAGGGGTGCACAACACGGGGCACGCATGCCAGATTTGGCACGCCATACGCTCAAACATGGCACGCGAACTGTTTTGTAAAAAAAAAAAAATATTCATGATATACATTAAAATATCACGTTTATATCAAAATCCGCAGTTTTTCAGGAAATCAAATTGTTTCAATAAATAGATATTCGTTATTATGTAATATTATTGAAATTTGTTTGTTTTACGGGAGGTTATGTCCAATACCAATGATTGTGCGCGGCACGCGACAAGATTATTTTGAAAATTTGGCACGTGTCCTCATTTGAGTTGTGCACCCCTGGTCTAGTGGATGATTCAGAAACAGGGGCTGGGATCCACTGTCATAATGCATAACAGTTATGTAGAGCAGTGGTTCCGTCCTTTTTCAAGCAATCCAAAGGAGCAATCAAGGATATGCTCAAATACTAGGCGGTATGTAAAGCTTATGTCTTAAATCGTAACAAAATTAACTGATTAACTAATAACAGCAGATGCCAATTTTGTACGCTGTGATACTTTCCACAATAATCCACATACACAATTACTATTGAGCAACACTTCAATACAAATATAAAATAAACAATAAAATTTATAAGAAAAATAAAACCAGTACGTTCAGTTTTTAGTTAAAAAAACAAGCGACCTAAGAAAATTTTCAAGCAACCAAATTTTGGATCGCCACCTATAGGTTCGGAAACACTAATGTAGAGCAAATAAAAAAGTCACATTTGCTACAAAATTGCAACAATTCGAACACAACGCTAAATAATATGATTGAATATAATAATAATGATTTAAGCTTCAAGGTTTTTCCAAAGAATGGAAATCAATGAAGCATAAATTCTCAGAATATTGAACTAAAGGAAATGCGGGAAATGTAGATGCTATGCTGCATCATGGCTCATTGCAGGGTTATTGGGTTAAACTATATAACCTGCTAGAATGATTAGACAAGACCGCATTTTTCAAAGCAAAATATGCTTGCCAAAGTGAAATATGCCTCAAGTAGGGCTGGTCATTTACGAACACCTGATGATATCAGAATTGAATCAAATATTTTGTTTTGTAATTTTCCTCATAAAACCCATCTATGGACAGTGAGTTGTCACACCCAATGAGAAACATTTATCATTGATAATTCACTAGGAAGAAAAGAATCATATGTCATAATTGCATTTAAAAATATGGCTTTAATGAAAAAATTGAAGAATTCATCCTTTGGTATAAAAAAGAATTCGAAAGTCCTTTATCATAATTAAGTCGTCTCATCAACTTTTCCGTCCCTGAGATAGATAAATATGAAAATCGCATCTCTGGCTAAATCTTGCAATCTCAACCGAAGTGAAAGAAATCACCTATAACGCGATGACACTAAATCATAGGTGCCCAAAAAGATGAACCCCCCAATCGAAATCCACATGACTCTAGGTACGACCCCCGCAAATAAACCTCTAGCGCCCCTCCGGTGGTAAATATCCTTTAAAACTGGAAATATGCGTCCTACTGCAGCGTGATCCCGCTTCTCAGCAAGCATTATTGTAGTTTTAGCGACATCGAGTGGGGTGGTAACCGCAGCAGCAAATCCTCCCGAGAAAAAACCACACCATGCGCCCTCCCATGGCGAAACTGCTCTGCCTTTTCGTTTTGATAACGAATGTTTTGCATATTCCCAGAGCGGAAATTGTATCAAAGAAAACGGTATTTCTCGTAAAACAGTACTCTTATATCCTCGAAAAAGGCCTTTAAACTTCTCATGTTTTAGCGTATTTCGTAAAATTGTCAAGCTTGACTTATTCGCCATTGTTTGTGAGCGTTGCTTGATGACTTCCACCGGTACTCGTACTGTGCATGCCACCACTTCAGCAACGCATGCCGATATCATGTATGAAACAGTTTCATGCTGTGACATAAATTTTGAACTCATGAGGCACCGTTTTGAAGTGTCATATGCCACAAAAAACATGGCAGCGCCAGGTGCTGATCCTAATACCACGGGTCCGATTCCTTTATATATTCCGCTGAATCCTCCAGATTTTCGGAATCCTTGTCGACTTTGTAGTCTTGTTTTTATCGTATCGAGGGGGAACAATGATACGTCGACCGCGAATCCAGCGCAGGCTCCACTGATCAGTGGCGGCACAAACCCAGAACTTTGCATGATTCTTCCTGTAAATGATGAACAATTAATTATTGATGCAAGAAGGTTATTTTACATAAAAATATTAATTTTAATCAGGGATATTTGGAAACATTCAAAATTAATTATATCCGATATACAGTAGTAAATTTTGAAATAATTTAAAACATTTCTATACAAAAATTGGGGATTTCGAGACATTAGAACGTAGATCAAAACTTGATATCTCAATTGGTAAGAAACAATCCAGAAAAAAATGAGACCTCCTGAAGTATGCGCACCAACATGGCGGACAAACTGAACTCAGGTTGTGTACCAGGTTAGGGTTGAGGTTGTGTGACATCTTGGTGCGCATACTTCAGAAGTAACAAAAAATGACCTTTTTGGTGATCAACATGAAGATATCATGATTTAGGAAATTATCCACATGAACTTGCCTCCAATTTAGAACGTATTAGATAAGATAGGTTTATTCCGACTCCATAATTAGCATAAACGGCAATAACTCGATTGATTAAAACAAATAAAATATTCGATATTTGAAACAGGGAAATAATAGGTTTTTTCTTTATCAGTAAGACCAGTGTTGGAAAGGTTGAAGTCATAGATTAAAGGACAATGCGAGTCAAGGATTTCAAAACTTTTAGTCTAATAATTTATTTTGATATCGGGCTCGGCAGTGTGGCTCACTGTGCTAAGTGTTAAGAATATGATCGCCACCTCACCTCTGGTTATCCTGCTTGGGTTCACAGGTTCGAATCCTAAGGAGTAAAATTATGTGAGGAACGACCGCGGGTTGGTTACGGCTTCCTCCACCACCAAGCCCATGCGTCTGAAAGAAATGACTGGCTGACTAATCCCAAACACGACATGGCCTAGTAACGGGACGAGAGGCCATGACCCACCATATATGAATAAGCCGTCTTTTCGGCTTCCTTTCCCTGGTATAAAGATGTAAATTCTACCTCACTAGTCATTACCATCTTTGGAAAGACTGAAATTTTTTCAGTTCAACTTACCCTGGATTAACTTGGACCCCTAGAAAAAAGCGAGATATACCCACCTTTTCTTTTTCCTTACAATCCCCAAAAATTGTTTTCATGCAATCAAACACAAAGCTTTTTTAACAGTTGTCATGGTTACTGCTAATTTCTAAAGAAAAAATTGGATATGAAAAGAAGAACAAAGTCAGAAAAAAATGATTAGGAACACATTATTCCGAACAAAAAACAACAAAAAAATTGCAATTATAAAGTGTGTTATTTGGGTCTGGTCTGTTTGGTATTATCCTATCCTGCCAGAATTATGGCTGTCCCAACAATACAATATCAATGCTGTCATTCATGCATCATTGATAATATGTTAGAATAAAAATCAAATTATACTGAGATCAAATTAGAATATCTCAGCTTGTTTTTACTCTCCTAACAAAACTCAAAGATGCATGACTTGCCAGAAACATCTCCTTTCAACATAAAGTACCAAATGCTGTCAGTCACGCTAAATGGAAAATGAACACAAAAAGGGAATGAAATGATATTTGAGTCACAAACAACAAAAATATGTAATATTCATTGTACACTTAAGTACCATCGTGGGTGTCGCTAATTCGGACAAAAGTGTGTGTCATCTTTTTCAACAACTTCAGACATCCAGCTGGGCCACACAAAAAGGCGGAATGCGGCTGTTGCTTAGCGTTACAATAATGAAGGCACAAATTTAACGCAGCGACATGAGCAAAAAAACAATATGTATTTTACCCATGTGAGCCATTTTTTAAACAAACTGTCGGATTTGGATTTTATGTATGATGGAGAAAAATCTTGAGTTTTGTCAGGGGCCAGACTAATTGGCTTGTCGGGCCGGTTTATGGCCCGGAAGTCGCCCGATGCACATCGCTGATATAGGACTATGAGACAGCACAGACAAGGATGTAAAAAGCGAATGGAATACACAAAATACATATTCGCTACATTGCCCATTGATATAACAGTGTATTGTTCTATTTTTTAAATGCTTGGTAGCAGAATCGCCAAAATCGGATAATCTATAGATAAGATGGACCTTTTCCAGATATCCCCCCCCCCCCACCCTCATTAATTTTATTTTACCCCGCCACGTTTCAAAATACCGAACTAGTAATCATACAGTTTGTGTTAGGAATGATTTCAAATTCCATCGCAATTTGCATCCTAACTGGATAAGGGGGGGATAACTAGAAAAGGTCCAATGTTTTAACAAATCGAACGTATAAAAACTTGATTTAATGAACATAAAATGAATAGATGGCGACAGAGAGCTCAACATAGATTGTCGGTATATGAAAGTTGGACTCATAAGAGCCATATTGAATGGGAAATTGGTAACGTCATATCTAGCTAGGATCTCACCAGATATAAAAATGTAACAGTACTATCACAATAATGTACTTTTTGTAAAAAAAAGAAATAACAAAATATAGGCCCTGTCTACTTCAGTACCATTTCACCACTAAAAATCAATGAAGTGTAACTAGTCGGAATAATTTCCTCCTTGGGTTAATGTGCCAATGCTGCATGAGTTGTCAGAATAATCGTATCCTTGTGTAAATGTGCTAATGCTGACAGGATACAATTTATCATTTGAGAGGTTAAAAAAAATCAAAATGTCAATGATGCATGACCATACAGAATATTCTTATGCTCCTGTAAATGGGCTGATGTTGCCAGGATGCACTTCATTATTTTAGGCTTGTGGCTCTTCCAGAGGCTTTCAGTACTTATGGCCATGAGCCCCTAGCTGGGCACTGCTGATTTAAGGTTCAGATAGCACTTAAGTAGACCGAATCCGAGATAATAACTGATGGCAAATAAAAGATAACATAACATAGATAATAAGGCACAAAATAGGCAAAATCACAACAGCATAGAAAAGGGGCGACCAAAAAATTATGGAGCCTTGCTCAGAAAAAAGAATAGTTGGGTCAAAGTAGAGGTTCCGTTCCGTTCCCGAAGTTGATTGACCGCGGGCCAAAATAAGAAATGGGAGGATATTTGTGGGCCGAAGAGGGAATTGCCAGCAAGGGACCGATAACGACGCACATAATCAAGATACCGGTATAACTGAAATGTTACAATTTTACATATGTGTGACAATGACATAACTAGAACGCGAAAAAAGGAAAATTTAAAGTGTTAATGTATTCCTTTTGAGTTTGGCAGGTTATATAAAAATCAACACAGGCCACAGTCTGGGAACCACTGCTTCCAACAATAGTGTAATCGAGCTTTTTTAACCGGCAGGCTAATAATTAGGAATAGGGTAACTCTGGTAAAATGAGTGGTCTCCCTGCAAATGACAGGAACTGACAATAATGCAACAAATACATCAAATAAAAATTAATTTGCAACAAAAATCATGTGAAATCTATAACAATTCCCATAGTCGAATTTCAAGACTTCCTGTGGTAATAATGAAAGTCAAAATAAGATGCAGAATCTCAAAAGTTAAACAAAGCTTTCTTATCGACAGTCCACTAAAAAAGACTGTAAGACAGGGTGTCCATAAAGTCCATTCACAATTTCAATTTTGGGTGCTCCCGAAGTATGCGAACCAAGATGGCGGACATTGGAACGTAACATGGGTAACAGGTTAGGGTTAGGCGATAATTTTTTTCCAATTTTCCTTATTTTAGTCCTATTATCAGTTCGAAGACTAGCCCAGAGCCTCCCGTAGTATTTATAGCTAAAATTATGGCCTAACCCTAACCTAGTACACATATTACATTCCGATGTCCGCCATCTTGGTTCGCATACTTCGGGAGCCCCCAATTTTGTTATGAAGTCAGTTCTCAATATATCTCAACCAGGTTTGTTGTTTTTTACTTTATTCAATACATCTGTGAGGACCAAAACAATATATGGTATCAATGAATTCTCTTTGCAATTTTAAGACTTCATGGACACTATATAAAGTTTTTGTCAGAATTCAAATTTTTGACGATCCGCAAAATTTTCCTCAATTTAAGGTCATAGTTGAATATTTTTTTTCCGGGCTGTGTGTAGGTCTTATATGTGGGAAAAAGTCCCAATTTCGAAAGAAATTGTCAGTTTCAATTAAAACTGAATCATTGGACTTTGAGGAATTAAACGAGCTGAAATTTAAATTGAAAAAAGTGTGTAGTTACAATTTAAAATGAAAAAACACCTTTGCAAAATTGTTACTGAAATGCAGTCCATGGATCTAAACTGAGATTGTACTTTGATTTGGATTTCACTCAAAACAAAATCAATGATGCATGACTGGTCAGAATAATCTAACTTTCAAAAGATATTCTTGATGCTGCCAAGTCACGCTACATTGAATTACCTTTATAATGAAAAATCAGTGATGCATAACTGGCCAGAATAATCTAACTTTCAAAAGATATTCTTGATGCTGCCAAGTCACGCATCATCGAATCTCAGATTATGGAAATAGTGTCAGAATCCCCTATATTTTTGAATGAGATTATTCAGTGATAATACCGACAGGATAGTTGGAATAGTAACAACTTAGACCAGACTCTTAAATCAAACAAATGCAGACTATACATCGTTTTTAATGTTCGTAATGTACGAAGCAGCTATGTCATCACCCATTGGTTGTTATCGTTCAACCGTGACTCAATTGCAAGTTCATTCAAGTATTCCTTACATTTCATTGCTTTTCCTCTTCTTTCTGTGTTTCTTCCGCTGAATTTTCATTCGCTTTTTCGTCCATTATATTATCCACATTCCCAGTTTCTTCACTATTCTGCGGCTTTTCATTTGGTTCTGTGTTAATTTGTTCATCTGTTATATTTTTAATTTTAATATCAGTAATTTCAGTTTTTTCCTCTGAATTTGAAATTTCCATGGTTTCCTCTTTTTCAGTATTTTCCTGCTTTTTGGAATCAATCTCAGCCTTTTCCTCTTGTGTTTCAGGCACTTCTTCCATTATTTCTTTATTTTCTGTGTCATCTTCTTCAGTCTTCCCATCTTGCTGTTCAATTTCAATCGCTTTGGTCTCAGTTTCCTCCAATTTTTTATGGTTTTCATGATTTTCTTCAGAACTTTCATCACCTTCCTTGGCATTTGCATTTATTTCTTTTAAATTTTCATCATTTTCTGTCATATTTTCATCCTTTGGTGTTTCATTGGATTCTTTTTCCTCCACATTAGAAGATGATTGTTCCTCTTTTTCTCTGTTTTCCGCTTTCGATTCATTATTTACATGAACTGATTCCATTACTTCCCTTTGCGGCGATTCTTGTGTTTCCAGGATAATTTCAGCCTCTTCAGGAATATTTTCTGATTCTCCCGATGTTTTCTCATCATCTTTGACATCTTTTTCACTATCTGCTGGTGTCGTGATTCCCTCCGTTGGTTCAGTTTCCATTTTTTCCGTTTTGGCCTCTTCTATGATTTGTTCAGATTTTTGTTCTGCTTCAGTGACAATAGGCTTTTTTTGTGCTGCCGCGGACTTTTTACGTTTCTTTTTAATTCCAAATGTTTGTCCGGTAAGCTTTTTCTTCTTTTTAGCCGCCCCCGCTTCGGGAACGAGCATATTAGGGGGTGCTTGGAGTTCACAACCCACCAACTCACACCACCCCACAGGGTAAATATCAGGTGAGTTACAATCGACCCACTGGTCATATTGATTTTCCCAGCCGTCAAAATGTACGTGTAAAAGACGTCCAACGATTCGTGTTACCGTGGCAACGCATATTAACCTCGGCTCCATTAAATCAACAGCTTCTAATTTCATTCCTCGTTTGAACCCGTGATCTGGTAAATCTCTGTCGAATAATTCAACCGGCGCCGCCGAGCTCGACGTTTCATTCAAATAAGTCTCCCAAGTGAAGGAATCTTTATAAGCGTTCGGTACGCTTAATGAAATTCCATTCTCAATGCAAAATCCGACTGGGAATATAGAGGGGGCCGTACAATGATAACAAAACCAGTCAGAGCCATCAGCTGCTTCCGAGCCATCTATTCCGATCATTAAATACCCGTTTTTGAGAACTTTTTTGACAGTTGCAGCACAAATCGCACTTAAATTTAATGGGTCGATTGCTTCTATTTTCATTCCCGGTTTGAAACCGCAACTTTTAACTTGTTTTACTGCAGGAAAAAGCTCTTGTTTTGCATTTTTAAATCCCTTTTTGTTTTTGTAGTCTTTGCTAGCGACAAGAATCTTATGGCCGACTCTCTCACACCACCCGATGGGGTGAATCAACGCGGATTGCGAATGACACCAAAAATCATCATTTACATAGTCTGAGTCCTCGTAACGTAGTCGCAAGCGCCCACCAACTATTTCTTCTATGATTCCAATTCGCATTCGTGAAATTTTAGTTTTGTCCACGACCTCTAACCTCATATTTGTAAGAAACTGAGACTTCACACTTTCAATAACACGACGCTGAAAATCATTTGGCAACGTTTTAGCGCCTGTTAATCTCCGAACCAAAAACGTTTTCCAATTTGTGTATTTATGTTGAATTGTTTGGGGAGGAACAAGAGGTTTTCCTATTGTAGCACACCAACCAACAGCATGAACATCTAAAGTGCATAAATTGCACCAAAAATCGCAGCAAGCATCTTCACCAAAGCCTTCATACCGTAATTTAGCTTTGTAACCGGCTACTTGGACGACAGACGCAATCCAAAATACTTTAGTATTCAAATTACAATCTAGATTTAGAACCTCAACTTTCATTCCAGAGCCGATTTCGCCCCAGTGTGCTGACATAGGAGAATGTTGAAAAAGTTCCACCGTGGCAGCAGAGGATTTTTTATTCACCAAATATGCCCCCCAATCGAACCCCATGCTGATGCACTGTTGTCTTTCTGATTCGGAGGGAAGTTGCAAATTCCGTGTCTTTTTGGGATTAAGTTTAGGCGCAGTTTGGTGCTTGTTAAAACGATGTTGAGCAGAAAAACTGTGAGAGCAAGCAGCACTACAGAAACGCTTGCTATTTGAATAGAAATCCTCTCGGATGCCAGATTTATCGCAATACTCACAAATAGCTGTCTCTTCTTCAACTTCCATCCATATAAAAGTGAAATTCCCTACCAGAAACTTAAATTCTCCTCGAGTAAATGTCGCAAAACCCCGTCAGTGCGCACTTTTACCTGTCGGCTCAGGTAGGAGTAACTGAAATATCCTTTACCAGTATTTTATGTAAATATCGAAATTATATTATGATTTAGTTCTCTTTTATGTCAAAAAAATATCCCAAAATTACCAAATTTTGAAAATAATTCATTTTAAATTAAAAAAATCTCATTATATTTGAATATATCACATTGAATAATATAATTTCAACATTTTTATGAACTTGCAACTACAAAAATCTGACATCACTTAATGCTACTTTTTCACTTGCTCTGTATCACCACCTACCAGATTAAAATGTATCCATGATACTGCCGATATCTGGCGCCTGTGAGTAGAGTCGAATTTCAATGATCTTTATGCCAGATTTTGGTGCATTACTCACTCCAATAGTACAGTAACATGATCACCAAAAAAAGTTGGTTGATGATTGTAATGAATAACTAAATTTAGATTATTGAAATAATAATAAATACTTTTAACTAAGTGATAAAATTTTCAATTCAGGTACGGGTTTTGTATAACTAGCTTGCAAATTTGCAAATTTGTGGCAACTGTAAGACCCAATATAAGGACGAATTGATTGGTTGACTTCTGTAGGCGTTTTTGTCTAAGCAGTTTTTGCAGCCGTTGCACATTTATTTCGCGATTTTCTAGACTAGATTTTTAAAGGAAAATGTTTTCTTCGAAGTTATCATGTCTGCAAAGAAGCTTGAAGTTGGGGAATAATGCAAAGGTGATGCATAATTTTCCAATTTACTTGGACGTTCTTTTATATTTAATCAAGGTCACTACAGCAATGTGTGCCAGTTTTTTAATTCTACACTTTTTTTGCTTTCATTTAGGTCTATGATTAAAACGTATACCGGTACACCACTTGTGTGATATTTTGATTAGGTTATGAAGACAGTGTAAGACCTAGCGTGTTTGTGTTGTATGTATGTTTATTCGTCTCGTAAAAGCAATATAAAAGAGTAAGTAATTATAAATACTGAAGACAGGATGTATGCACAAGACCATGTTGGCCTAAAACACAGATGTGCGGCATACACCCCTTTTGATATATATAAATTATAATAGGGTAAGTCAAATATGTACAATATGGTCCTTTATACAGGCAGGCGCGGCGGTGTGGCTCAACGGGCTAAGCGTTAGGAATACACTCGCCACCGCACCTCTAATTACTCTGCGTGGGTTCGCAGGTTCGAATCCCATGCAGGGATGGTTATGTGCGAGAGGATTGCTGGACTCCTCGCCGTCGTTGGGTGGTTCACGTAACCGCTGGTCGATTACGGCTTCCTCCACCACCAAGTCCATGCTTCCGAAAACAAACAATACAGTAAAACTAATCCCATACCCGACTTGGAATGGTAACCGGCAAGAGGCCGTGGTTCGCCATATGGATAAGCCATCTTATCGGCTTTCCTCTCCCCCGGAATAAATATGTAAATCCTATCCTATCCTTGTGCAAGTAGGGTGTTAATAGTATACTATTCTATTCGTTTATCACATTCAATCTAAAACAGTAAAAAGCAGCATCTAAAAAATCGCCTATGTTTTTTCAACTTGTAATCAATTTCACAAGGACATGCAGTACATCTGTGTCACAAGTTTATGTCTTATATAAAGTTTTAACAACTTACCTAAATTTTCATGTGATATCATCATCAAAAATTGGGAGCCACCGTACTATAGTGAGGATTCAAGCAACCCTCAACATATAATCATATCCCACGGGATTCGAACCTGTGAGACTGTATAGCAACGGTTCTCAACTGGGGGGCCTGTGGTCCCTTAAGGGGAGGCGCAGTTCTTACCACTTCATGGCAGATCCTGCCACGAACGAACTGCGGCAGCTCTTGCCATGGTTTTATAACGCTATTCTGTATTCAATCATTAATCAGTATTATCGCTATTCTGTAATCAGTATTAACCGTATGTTAGTTGTTGGTATTAACGGTATATTCACAAACTAATGTACCAAATTTTAATTGATCATGCGGAATTATATCTACTTGAACCCTAACCCTAACCCCAAATCCATCAAAACTGTATTTATAAGAAAAACGTTCCAACTTATCCAATATTTGTTACCATAAGGGACACCCTGTATTTGCGGCCCACCTGCCGTGGTTACGGCAGCAAAATTTTACCTGTCATTGGTTTTCAATTTGCTGCCGCGGTAACGGCCGCTCGTCATTGGTTTGTGGCAGCTATAAAGTCAGTAGCCATAGGTTTGGCCGTAGCGGCCGTGATATGGAAATACCGCCATGATTTTGCGGCAGCTGCAGACGCCACAGAATACTTAAAACTGCACTTGCCTAAGGGGGCGTTAGAGTAGTTAGAGGGGGCCACACCAGACTGGATTCCATGGTATGTGCACGCCCGAGGTCGCTGGCGCTGCGCAGAATTGCACGCTATCGAATTCAAATTTGCACGCCGAAAATTTGCAATCGCTCACCAATGAAAATCGGTTTTAATGGTTTTTGAATCAATAATTCAGTAATATAAAGAAGCCAACAAATAATATCTCCACAATTGTCGACTACATACTAGCTTGCAAGATTTGGCCTGATCGAAAAATGCGAAGCAAAAAGGACCATGTTTCATAATTTCTTGGCGGTATGGACGTATGGCACATCGTTTTTAATGAAAGGAATCCCGTAAGAATAGTTATGAGCGAAAAGAACGTCAAACTCCTCGCCGACGCTGGCTAGTTACGGCTCTGATTCAGCGTATTTCTTATTCAATAATTTCATGCAAAAACACTCCCAAAATTAATGTCAAAGTATAAAAATAATGTTTGGGAGTCAAAGATCAAACGTCAATTTTTGCACTCATTCAAGTTTTTTTTTTTATCTTATAAAAATCTTACGCGAATGTACTGAACAGTACTGGAATCCAAAGTTGCACAAACACTCTCAAAATTCTATTCTGGGGGGAACGAGGTTGTTCCCATCGCTTAGCACTTATTATTGGACACACAGTGGGCCTTTGTATCGTGTTGTTATGTTGTTGTTCTTGATAGTTTTCTTCTTGTATCATTACCTACTGAACCAATTGCTTTGAAATTTTCAGTGCGGAAAGATTGTATTTTTTGCTGAAAGGCTATTTTTTTTTTGTGTCCATATATTTGAGCATAGCTCTTTTGTTATATTATTTCCTATTTATTGTTCTCCATAATTTTACAGGTAACCTGGACGCGGCCACTCAGCACATCCGTTTTCTCTCTTAGCCAGACAAAATGGAATTGGACTGGAAACGAGACCCTGGAACAAGACGACCCAGAAATCAATTCTTTGATTAAACAAGAAAAAGACAGACAAGTCAGAGGACTGGAACTGATTGCTTCAGAGGTGAGGATTAAGACAGGGATCTGCGAAACCCTTGGGATCTGTGATGACTGCACCAATGTGTCGGAAAGATATAAAAAGAGTCTGATCGATTTTTAATTATTGATTTCTTTTTGTTTGAGCATTGCGGACCAATATCTATTGCTGTCAGAAAAGGCAATTATAATTTTATTGCCTTTTGCAATGACCTACATGTGTGACCTACACCTGTTTTACTCAGATAAATTATCGGACTTTTCTCAATTATCCCCCCCCCCCTACTAATCACATTATCCAGTTAGGGTTAGGAATACGAATTGAGCTCGAAATTAAAATTTCCAATCATTCTTAGCCCCAACTGGACAATTGCTAATTTGTTGTTTCAAAACGTGGAAGGGGGGGGGGGGATAATTGAGAAAAGTCCGATAATTTATCTGAGCAAAACAGGTGGGGGATAACTGGAAAATTTCCTAAATTTCTAAGTGAGTGCACATATCTTTCAGCATTTCTGTACTTTCTAGTTTTTAATTTTGCTCATGGTTGAGACATCTAAGTGACATGTGTATACTTTTGAGTAGTGTACATATCTCTTGGATGAGTTTTTCTGCTGAGTTTTCTTCATACATATTATACCACGTTTCTTACTTTACTAATTGCCAATTTTTCAGAATTTTGCATCTCGTGCTGCCCTCGAAGCGATGGGATCTTGCTTAACTAACAAATACTCAGAAGGGTATCCAGGTAAATGATTTGGGTATTGATTTAGTGGTAGCACATAGGGTCGAAATGGGGGGGGGGGGGTTGAAGTTTGGTGTGTTTTCCTAGCATCTGAGGCTGTACGAGTTACGTTTGAGACCGCCAATTAAGCATTTTCAACAGATAATAACATTTGCATATGTGAAAATGTTTGTTATTAATGATTGCCTGTTATAAAGCAATGTTCTGGATTCGGAGTTAATTTCTTAGAGTTGGATCAAGAATCTTCGGTATCTAATCTGGTCAAAACTTTAATTAAGCGTATCGTTTTCTGGCTTCAATTTTCTTGATATGGTATCATTCTTCTATGGCTTTTATAGCTCTGACTATTACTTGTAAAGATATAAAAACAAAAATCCGCAATCAATTACCCTCCTGATTATTTACTTTTGCTTTTGGAATAGTTTTTACTTTATTAAGTTTATTTTAGTCTTCGGTAAACCTTGCATTTATTTTTTTATTGGAAATCTGTTTTTATTTCCAGGTCAAAGGTACTATGGCGGGACAGAAATTGTTGACAAAATCGAACTTTTGTGCCAGAAGAGGGCGCTAGAGGTATTTCGACTTGATCCAGAAAAATGGGGAGTGAATGTGCAGCCCTATTCAGGTATTTTCTTGAAGGATTATTGCTTGTTATTTTCTATGAAATATTTAAAAAAAAAAGCTATTATTGAAATTTTGGCTTGATGGCTGCAGATTAGTCTGTGACGTGGCATGGCATAAATTGTGTGGCATGGCATTGGAGATGAAAATTGAATATCACAAAGCAAAGTGCGAGTTTTTGACTGAAGGCAAATTTTTGTTGTCTTAGATCTGTTGCCATAAAGATTTTTAATTAGGGATGAACAAGCAAAGCATCTCCTGTTCTCGGAGGAAGTTAAGAGAAAATATCTCACAACTAAATACAAAATTTAGATTTATTTTTAAACTTTATTTTAAATATCTAAACTATGAAGTAATAATAAAATGATGTAAATGCCTTTTCATCTTTCGTTCAATAATGTCAGCCTCCGTTAAATTTGACAGCTTTTTTTCTGAAATTAGAGATCCTGTTGTTACATACGAAATTCTGATTTATTTTTAATAATCCCCATTTGAAATGTCTAAATTATGACATGTTAAAATAATATAAATACCGTTTTCATCTCTGTTTGAACTATGTCGTTAAATTTGACACTCTTATAGCGAATGGGAATAGTAATTGTGACATCACAGTGAGCAGCCAATTGCAAACAAGATTTTTTTGATGCGGCCCTTGCGAAATAAAAATTATACTTCAAAACTTGAAAAAAAACCATACTCTCCATGTTTTTTATTGGGCATTGCTAGTTATGAAGTGATTGAAGTATTTCTTATTCTGCATTGCTCTGCATTTGAAACGCTTTGTCATTCTTTACAGGTTCTCCAGCGAACTTCGCCGCTTACACAGCAGTTTTGAATCCGCATGACAGAATCATGGGTCTGGACCTTCCTGATGGCGGACAGTAAGTTTAATTTATCCTTGTTTCAATTTTTACATGAACTGTGAAATGTGCTCACTAAAGCATGGAGCTCAAAATGAACAATTTCATCATTTTTTTCTCTCATAAGGGTCCCTCGTTTTTTCATGAACTCTTTTTCCCGAATTGTGGTTTATTTATTCATCCTAGTATAGGTTCGTAATTGTTTGACATCATTTGCTGCTGAAAAAGGGTGTCGCTGACTCGATGACACTCATAGTCTTTTTGCGACCCTTGTTTATTGCAGTTAAAACATTGTTTGTTTTTTTGATGAATTTATTTAATTTTTATTTTTTGTTCATGTATTTGGTGTTTATTGCAAGACTAAATTGAATATCTGTGAAGTCTGGAAAAAAAATTAACAAACTCTGAGCCATTTAAGAACGACTCAGGCTCTTGATTTCAGGTTGACGCATATTTTGACTCCTGAATTCGGCTCTTGACTACAGAATGTGATGAACTCTGAACTCTGCCTCGATTGGCAAATACTTTATTACAGTAATGCAAAATTATTTGCAGGGTTAAAGTTAAAGCAGTATACCAAGCGACTTTTTTCTGTTGTTTCTACTGCCATGTCTTTGATGGATGTGTATCTTTTAACCAAACTCAATAATTCAGCATTCTGTACATCCTAGCAACAGTTTCATCATCTGTGATGTGTAACCTACCTACTATCCCAACACATTTACGCCTAACACATTAACTGCTAGACCAGCTGTTCCTGACCCGGGGCCCAAAACAACACTATAAACACCACTGAGATGACAAGCAGGGAACATGAGCCCCCAAGGGAGCCCCTAGGCATAACAGGGTGGGGAACCACTGCGCTAGTCCATCAGGCGCTAATTTACCATCCTCATCTCTATTCATTCTTTTTCAGTCTCACTCACGGTTTCATGACGGACACGAAAAGAATCTCAGCTACAAGTATTTACTTTGAGTCGATGCCTTATAGATTGAATGTAAGTGTAAATTTTGCTTTACCAAGTGAATCAATGGTCTTTCTGCACACTGACCAAGGTCAGAAGAAACTTTACAGGAATACATTTGTGTTAGTGGGCAGCAAGACTCTTGAATCACTTAGCATTATACGAGAACAGATCCACCGGCGCGAAAGCTTAGAAGACAAGTAAGTAGTTAGTCTCGTAGAAAACCAGTCGATAGCATAGATTGCAGGTCGCACACCACTAACATAAATTACGTTTTTTCACTGTTTTTAAACGTTTTAGCAAGGTTTCTAGTGTTTTTTGACGATTTTTCAATGTTTTTCCGTAGACTTGCATTGGTCGGCATTTGCTAGCGTACAACTTCATACTAGAGATGTACCGATACCGATACCAACTAAAAATCCCGATACCGATACACCGATATTACACAAATTCCGATATTGCTGATTCCGATACTTGGTAATTATTACCTTAATTAAGTGTGCTGTGTATGGCAGACGGGTTAAAACAATGGTATTTGAGCCTTATTCATAGTACACATTATTTCAGATTGAAAAAGAGATATATCACATAATATGAAATTGATGTTTGGTATCCAGATGCAATAATTGGTTCAGATTCATTGTGCACCGACGCTAGTAATCTCGGTGTTCAATTAGAAAACTTATAGGCTGGGATGTGCAATTTCAATTTAATATTAATATCGTGACCTTCGAATATCGTTTTTTGTGTTCTAAAGAAAAACGAATATCGCCCAAGTATTCTAGCGCCGCCTTCCTACGTTTTAATTTAAAGCATTTCTAAAATATTTATTTTGTGTTTAATCGTAATCGTTGCGGCAATAAATAACATTAAAAATTAAAGGATATCAATCAGCGCCGACTAGAATTATCTATAATACATCGAGAATGTTTTCTATTTTACTATTTTATCATATATCACAATTACTATCGTATATTTTGAGACAGTCTAGGCGGCCACACCAATAAATCTATGAAGAAATTGTGTTTTAAACAAAATTAAAATTACCGAAATCACAATATTTAATACCTGCGTAGGGGAATAATTACGTTGGATTTAGTTTAACGACGACGACGGACTAAATGACACTAGCGCTTGACAATAAATAGTCAGAATTTATAGCAGTGCCAAAAAGTGCATGTGCTGTAAAAAAGAACTCCGATTCCACTGTATGATTTAAAACTGGGCTCCTAGTTGCTCATTTTTCTGGGCTGTCTTGATATATTTCTTCATAATTACTATGTATAGTATGTAATATCGAAATGTCAATATAAAAATTTGACAGTGAAAATAGACAAATTAGTTGAGCTAGTTTGGCCAGGAAATATTTAAAAACAGGTGAATCCTATTCCTGTTACTACTCGCGGGGGTGGGGACATGCATGGCCCATAGTTCAGAATCTCTCCAGACAAAAAATTAATTAAAAAGTAATATTTTAACTTATCTTTCAAAACATTCTGGATCATATTCAAGAGGTTAATAAATATATCAGAAATATCGGAATTATTTTAGCTGATATATACTGATATATGACCGATACCGAAAAAATGGCCGATATTGCCGATACCCGATACCCTTCATTGTGGTGTCAGGCTGTCAGCGGCCCTTGGCACTCCAGTGTTACTCATAACTTCTCAGAGATGAGTTTTTTTTTACATCTGGGTGATCACATGAATGCACCATGGTTATTCTAAAAAATTATAGGGTACTCTCGGGACCAAGATGGCGGACCCTGGAACGTAGTAGGTCTACCTGGTTAGGCCATAATTTCAGGTACAAATACTACAGGAGTCCCTTTGCTAGTCCCCGAACTCTTAATAGAACTAAAAGAAGGAAAATTGGAATAAAATTATGGCCTAACCCTAACCTGGCACACATACAACGTTCTGGTATCCGTCATCTTGGTTCGCATACTTCAGGAGCACCCAATTTTTTTTCCTTTGCATCTCACAACTAAAATGTTAGCGCTTGCAATAATTCATGACCTAATAGATCACCGAAAAAGATCGCCTCAATAATATTTTTCCTCTCAACAGCCCAACACAGGTACAATAGATTACGACAGCCTTGAAGCGAACGCAAAATTATTTCGACCTCGTCTGATTATCGCTGGAGCAAGCGCTTACTCAAGGAAGATTGACTATGAGAGAATGAAGAAGGTAAGAAGGGTTGGTAGACCAGTGGTTCTCAAAGGGTTGGGCTTGCCCCGCAAAAGGGACATAAACAACACTTTGGATATTAACAATCGATCCCCATATTTTCAACGTGTTTTTGAATAAAATCTAACTTGGCCTCACTATCTGTTATTTATAGCTTATTACTTATCGATTTTAATCGGTAAGTATGTTGATAGGTATTTGTCTGTTTGTCTGTCTGTTTGTCTGTTAGATGCACGCGATATCTCACGAAAGCCAGATTGAATCTGCTCCAGATTTTGCATGTGCATTCATCTTATCTCGGACCAGAAGCCTATTGATTTTGGGCGAATTATGTCATATAATTAGCGAGTTATCAATCAATTATTGATGAAGTGATCTAGATTTTTGTAAAGCGAGAGAATTTTGAGACCCGCTGAGTGTGTGTGTGTGATGCGCAGTGCGCAAATTAAGGATGAATCGAAACTGCAGTTTCTGTTTTGGGGGATCCCCTAACTATCGATCGATAAGTCTTCGGTTTTCAACCGATATTCTCGTTGTTAGCTAGTTATTTCTGAGGTGGGTGTGAGACTTGACACAATTCTAAAAAGGGGCGTGGCTCAAAAAGTTTAATAGCCACTGCGTTAGACATTTGATTCATTATGCTTCAAGGGTTTCTGGCAACAGGACAAATCTTGAAATTTGGAATAAGCAAAAAAATAGGTTTTCGTTATGCTGGAAATTTCTAATTGCCAAGTTAGCTTGTATCAGCTGACAGGTCTGACCGAAGGCCGTAAAACGTGGGTCGTGAGCAATGTTTCCTCTAATTTTTTGTAGTATGTGTGCGCAGAAATTTTGGTGTGTGCGCACTTTTTTGGAAATGACTAATATTTGTGCAAAACCAATGAAGAAATTTCGGCGTTCTAACCGGGTAATAAGTGGGCCAACAACAAACTTTCTCAACCTGCCAACCGAGAACATTGTTACATTACATCGAAATACGTCTGTGCGCTGTAAATCTATGCGTGTGCGCAGCCTCTGAAAGCTGTGTGCGCGCGCACACGCGCACACCTTAGAGAGAACACTGGTCGTGAGGGTCTAAAAAGTGTTTCAAGTTCGGTAGAATCCTATATATGAGAGAGGTGGTTCCGCGTGTATATTAATGTTTTATTGGAGTAATACTTAACATAAACAGTTCAGTTGTCACCACAAATAACAGAATATAAAGTTTGACATAAGACACATGTTGCCTGTGCTACACCAAAGTACTGATACCTCTGGAGACCAGCATGTCAGTATTTATACCCAGGAAGCATGCTTCAAGTGGTTTTACCCACAATGCTCTACCATCATGCTGGGCTGTCATTGGTCAGTTAAAGAGTGAGAATAGAATCAAAGTACAGTTATCTCAGGAGGACAATCACCTGGATAAAATATAAATGAGAACACACAAGTTAACACCGCGACACTCAACCCCCGAAGTACATGCACACAGCATGTTGGAGTCAGGGTTAAAATATATTTTTAGTCAACTTGAGTTTGAGCTGAACGTAAAATTATTCTCTCAGCCTTGATCTTGCCATAGATTACTTCATCTAATTTGGCTAATTCGAGGGCGTCTGACACAATGACAGATTTGTCAGATCGTTCCAAACTTGTCTCAGTTATCTCTGGCTCAAACTTCAGTCAATCAAAAAATAGTTCCGAACTCAACCCCAGGCGACGCGACGTGCATCAGCTGTCATGTGACCAAAGTAGTGGTTTTTTCTCTCCTACAGCGACTAACAAAAATCCTTGATTTCAGATCACAAACCAACATGACGCATATCTCCTTTCTGACATGGCACATATTAGCGGACTAGTGGCAGCTGATTTAATGCCTTCACCGTTCGAACATTCCGATATTGTTACTACGACAACACACAAGACACTAAGGGGCGCTAGATCTGGACTCATTTTTTATAGGTTTGTTTTCTGTGTTTTTTTTTTTTATTCTAAAAGTACAGAATGAACAGAACAGAACTTATGGCCATAAATTTTCCTCTCATGCAAATGAAGAAAACAATATTTACACTTGAATTTCCGTTTTTTTTTACATGATTGTACCCAATAGTTTTAGTAATCTACCGCATTTTCCACAAAAGTTAGTTTAGTGTTATCAAGGCAATCTTTATTTCTCACAGTAAACTTTATTTCTGCTACATCAGGACCAGGGGCCAACAATTTTGCCCATACTGACTGGAGGGCCATGTGAGTGTGGCGTAAAAAATTCCATTTTATGGAGAGTGTTACAAAAGCAAAAGTGGGAAACAATAAGCCTCACGCCAAAACTAAATTTAATCGCAATCTTAACAATTCATTAGGCTTTTTTTTAGCTAAAACATCAAACTTTGGTTTCAGTTTGATTGTGGCAATTGTCAAAACAAATTTAAAATTTCAATAAAAACAACTATATATAGTGCGTGCAAAATTGGTTAAAAGCAGAAATTTATGGCAGAATCAGGCGGGCCAGATTGAATCAATCAACGTGACGGATTTGGCCCATGTCAGCGCTGCAGCATCCTTGCATTATATACATACAGATTAGAGGTAAGATCGGGTTAAAAAATTTCAGCCTGACCCGACTCCGGCCCGTGGGTATTAAACCCTACCCGAGCCCGACTAATTAAATGGATTTGCAGACCCGAAATTTCATATTTTGGGGCTCCCGAAGTATGCGAACCAAGATGGCGGACATCGGAATGTAATATGTGTACTAGGTTAGGGTTAGGCCATAATTTTAGGTATAAATACTACGGGAGGCTCTTGGCTAGTCTTCGAACTGATAATAGGACTAAAAAAAGGAAAACTGGAAAAAAATTATCGCCTAACCCTAACCTGTTACCCATGTTACGTTCCGATGTCCGCCATCTTGGTTCGCATACTTCGGGAGCACCCATATTTTATTTAGGAGTTCTTCTTTTGTGAGCTCTATAATCTGCACATCCATTTGACAATGCTAATGTATAGAGGGTAGCTAAAGGTTTTACTGGGCAAACTAAGAAATTCCCTAGCAACACACATATTATTATCAAGAGGCATTCAAAAACGTGTCAAATGTCCCGCTGCACTCCACTTGTGCGGCACATTAAATTAAACGAGGTATGCCGTTAAAAAGCAAAGAATAAGCATCATCATTCAAAGAACTACGAAACTTTAAATTTCGAAATTTAATATTTATGAAATCGGAACCACTCTGAAAAATAGTTTCTAATAAACATATATTTACTTATAAAAAATCCAGCGATATATAAGCCCGACCCGAACGTAATGATTGTCATTTCAGGCCCGATCCGATGGTCGGGTCGGGCTGGGGCTCGGGCTCCAGATCTTAGCTCTAATACAGATCCACCAGCGCTGAAGCATAGAAGAAGAGTAACTAGTTGCTAACCCAATCAATTAAATATTGAATTTATACTGTGTTTTCCAGAAAAGGTGTCCGAAGTACATCAAAAAAGACGGGAAAAGAAATCAAGTACGATTTGGAAGATCGAATAAATTTTGCTGTTTTCCCAAGTTTACAAGGGGGCCCTCACAACTACGCCATAGCTGGCGTTGCTGTGGCCCTCAGACAGGTAATGGGCCATTTTGAAAAATTTAAACTTGTGGTGATGGCCAACTTCAGACTGGAGTCTGGGAACCTCGCCTCATTTTAAAATTTAGACTATTTATTGAAAAATTTAAGAAACGACTCTAAGACAAAAATATTTTCATGTGATTTGTTTCCCGTCTCATGGTTTTGAAGGGAATTTTGACTTTTTATTTTAGCTTCCAAGTAATATAGAATTTCTGAACTTTTTAGAAAACGACCACAATCCTGGTTACAGACTAGCAAGAATTTTGATTTTGAATCCTACTGACTTCAGCTTAAGGGAAATTTTGTCACCGACCCACACATTTTGATAATGAAATCCCGAATCATTTTAAAATTGACCACAGATTAACAGAAAATTCGCTCTCGACTTCAGAATTGAGGAAATCCTGACTTTAGTATATTATGCTTGCATTCTTCAATTGCATGAACCCTCTTTTTCCGCTGGTTACAATCGACTTTTTGTACCATTTTATAATATGTAATGACCAGTTAACCAAACGTGCAAGGAACACCCCCAATATCTCTTTAAAAAGCTTATTTTCGTGTCTTCCTACTAAAACGCGCCCAAATGACGTACGCGCAAACCGTTCGACCCTACGCCGGTAAGAAGAGAGAAATTTCAAAAAATTTTGAGAGAACGTTTCACACTCTTATCAAGATTTCAAGCACTCTGCTCAAAGAGCGTTACGTCACCTTTGCAGAAAAACCAGACTCAGCTTCGCAAGCGAAGCGAAACGCGAAATAATCAATGATATGTGAGAGCATGTTCACAATAGTTGTCTGGAATCTTTGTTTGTTTATTATGTGCGCGGAATTGTTTCCCGCTCGTTCAAATGACTTATCTTTGAAGTAATGACAAATACTTTCGTGTATCTCTAAGCTTTGAAATACCTACACAAATAAAATTCACTTAGTAGTAAAATAAAAAATTTACAAAAAAAAAATGTTGACGGATCAAGCACGGATCATAGTTGGATGCCTAAAAAGATTTTAGTTAGTGCGGGAATACTTCACAAAACAGTTTGAGAATTTGAGATCTCTGATTGTTTTCTAACTCTCTGGATCTTGCAATTTTTTATTATTTTGGATTCATACAAAAATCTTTGCTGGTTTCACAGTCCCGCCTAAAACTTGACAGGCCAATAATTAAACTGTAACTCAACTTTTATTTCTCCAGGCGATGTCGCCAGAGTTCAAAGAATACCAGATTCAAACAATGAAAAACGCAAAAGCGATGTCAGATGCATTGCAATCTTTGGGATATAATGTGGTATCAGGTGAGATGTTGCTCTGTTCTGGCACCACGCTGGTCCGACATATAATTTGTTCTCAACGGGTATACTTTTGTACACTCAGCACTGGCACATTAACAATTATCCAATGCTGTTTCATATATATATATATTTTGTATCTTATTATTAAACATATGATGCAAGTCCTAATTTAGCATATCGGTATGTTGGGATTAACATTAACAATGGGATTATCAATTTCAACAATTCAAGGCAAAAAAATTATTGCCGAAATTCTTAAATTTCATTGTTCTGAAAAATGCCTGCTTGATATCAAATAAAACCCAGCTGTTTCAAATCCTTTACGTTATCGTTATAGGAATTAAACTCAATCAATTGAGCTATTGATATTTTTACTCATTCAAATGGTTTTCATGTTTGTTACTCCCTCAGGTGGCACAGACAATCATCTTGTACTCGTTGACCTTAGACCTAAGGGAATCGATGGGGCACGAACAGAAAAAGTCTTGAAGCAGCGTCAATAACAGCGAACAAAAACAGCGTTCCGGGGGATAAAAGTGCACTCATACCTGGAGGACTAAGGCTGGGTGAGCCAGATAAACGTTTTACTAAAATTAGTTATCTTATATTTCTTTCCACGCCGAACAAAGCATTTGCTGATATTTTAAGATCTACTATCTTTGAAAAGACGTTAATGATTTTGTTTTGACATCCATAATATATATTCGGTCTCTCATGCCTGTTTTGCCCTAGGATTTCCTTATTTTGAAGAACTCCTGTTTCGCCCCAGAATTTTCCATTTTTTGAATAAACCTTTTTTTTGCCCAGATTTTTTGGTTTTAAAACCCTTGTGGTTGCCCCCCAGGATTCCTTATTTTGAAAAACAGATTGTTTTGCCACAAATTTTTAGAGATTTTTTTTTAAAATCACGCCTACTGGACTGGATCATCCCTTTTGGAATCAATTTTCGCAAGCTTAATCTTTTAAGCGTATACATCATTCTGATTTTACATTCCAGGCTGCTCCAGCGCATGATCGTTCGCCCATTTTTGTGAGGATGTATTTCCGTAAAGTCATTGACTTTTTGAACAGAGGAGTAGAATAGCTAGTTGAGCCAAGAGCACGTACAAGTAAGTTATATTAGTTATAAAAATAAGTCCCCGTCTTCTGGGGATACTCAAATAGTGACTGGTGTCTAAGGCAATGGTTTTTCATGCAACGGCACAGACGATTTTTCAAGGATCGTGAAGCTAATTAATTTACTTTTCTTCATTTTGACAAGACTTGACAAGTTTTAAAAAAGGGGCACAGCCTAAAAAAGTTTGAAAGCTGCTGGTCTGAGAATTTTCAGAAGTGTAACTAACTTCTGAAATCTACCTGAAGCATGCAAAAAATTAGTTCCTTAATGTACACAACCAGAGCGCTATGGGAAAGTCAAGAAAAGAGAATGTTGGTCAGCCTTATAGTAATAAAGCACTGGTCAAAGGGGCAAAAGATTTACCACAGCGACAAAAGCAAAAATTGCATGTATCTTTAGCCATGTGAACGCCTTTTCAAACGGGGGGCGCAGACAATTTTTTGAGGAGGCCTAAAGCTAATTAATGTCATCGACTCGTCGCATAAAACGAATTCTGTAGAGGCCACAGGAATTAACAATATAAAATAAATAACCGTTTGAGAACCATTGTTCTAGACCAGTGGTTTCCAAACTTTTTGTACCATCGCCCCCTTAGAGTAGTTTATACTAGTTCATCGCCCCCCGGCACTGCGTAAAAAATGTAAAGTCTGAAACGAATATATTACAGACCGAATAACGAGACAAATAATGAGATGGATGAGCTTGGTGTTCTTCAGCGCGATTTTTATAATATCTAAAATTACCCCGTTTTCTGATAGAAAGGCAATTTCGTTGTTTTGATAGCAATAGTAGCACAGCTGAAAACCCCTCATCATATTAGCGGTCGGAAATGAAAGAATCCAGGGTTCTACCTCCTCAAAAACCGTCGTGTACTCTTGCTTTATAGCATTTAACTCCCTAAATTCACCCCATTGTACATTTAGGGTTGCTAATCTTTTGCGGGTCGCATATATTTTTTGAAAGTTAAAAAAGGGAACAGCGGGGAAAAACTGCAACAATTCGTGGACTCAACCCAGTCGTCTTATTAAAAAATTATTACAATTGTGGCGGGACTGGAATTGTCCTATTTGTTATTATTTTGTATTTTATTTATATTTAGTGTCTAGTTATTGCATATGCATTGGTGTGTGGAGTCTGAGCCCTAATTCGCCCAATAGTTGGATCCAGTAACTCGACTCCAACTACCACTGCATATGTGAACTGTGCTGCGTACGCAGTGTTCGCTCTTCTTGCTTCTGCTGTCGCTGAGTAAGGACCGTATTTTGTCGCTCTTATATTATCTGCTTTAAGCGTGGATTTTACACTATTTAATAAAGTCTCTTCGTTTGCATCATGAACTTCGAACCTATTTGTGTGTCTTTGCAGCACATTGGATCTTCTGAACTAATTATTACAGTATTACTAGACTGTATTAGTGGCGAGCACCTACCGGTATTCCGGTTAAGTCGTACCGTTGCAAATTGACGAGCTAACGCCAGGATTGAAAAATCAGACGATTTTTTGATTAAAAGTTCATGATGTCACACCGAAGAAAGAATTGCGACCAGGAACGAGATGTAATATGGAATAAAATTTCCCAGATGGAAACCGAAAACAAAGAAATTAAAAACATGAATAAAGACATACTAGGCGAAAACAAGGAAATTAAAAACATGAATAGAGAAATACAAATAGCGAATAAAGAAATACAAATGGTGAATAAAGAAATTGAAGATAAGAATAAAGTACTAGAAGCTGAAAATAAAGAACTGGCTAGACAACTGCAAATAGTCTATGCTAGTGTTGCAAAACTTGAAGAAAGAGATGTTGGCATGAAGGAAGTACTCGAACGGGTGTTGTGCCGTCTGGAGAGCATTGACGAGGCCATGGGTGAGGTGCCATCATTTATTCCTAAACCTATTCTGAAAACCCCTGAGGTGCCCAAGAGTGTTGATAGGAATGGTGAACCTGACTGCCCTGATAATGAATGTTTGATAAATGGTACCGGTACTATTAAAAAATTGAATTTTGCTGATGAGTGTGTGAATGGTAACGTTACTGATTGCAAGGCAGTTCCTTTTGGTATGAATAATAGTATGAGAGTGGATATCCAGCCTGATACTTTTAATGGTGATGGTATGTCTTTGGATGATTATTTGTGTCATTTTTCATCCATTACTACCTGTAATGGATGGACTGATAAAATTGCTGGTGTTCATTTTGCTGCATGTATGCGTGGGAAGGCTTTGTCCTTGTTGAATGAATTATCCCTTCCAGATAGACACAGTTTGAGTGTTGCAGTGAGTCACTTGAAAAAGCGTTATTATCCAGAGGGTAAGGAGTCATACTTCGCTACTTTGTTTAATAACAGAAGAAGTTGGCCACTGAGACGCCAACGAATATGCTACTTCTCTTCGTGCATTGTCGAGGAAGGCTTATCCTTCTTTGGATGTTATTGCTCAGTGAGAATCTGATTAAGCAGCGTTTCATTTCAGGTTTTCCCTGATTTCGAGATGTGTAAGACTTTGACTATCAGGCAGACTCAGAGTTTGGATGAATTAATTACTGTGGCTGATGTTTGTCATTCTATTGATGCTACGCACAGTGCACCTGGTTGTAATCGTGCTAGTAAGCCCATGGTAGCTGTTGTGAATAATTCTGAGCGTGATGATGGTGTGTGTGAATCTGAATTTAGTAAGCTGCGGAATGATATTAAAGAGATGCTTGACCACTTTTGTGCTAGTTTGATGAAGGTCATCGACCCCGATTTTCTCGTCAGAAGGGTGGGCGTAGGAATGAAGGTATTACTTGTTATGGCTGTGGTGCCAAGGGTCACATACGTAGGAATTGTCCTGAGAACCAGTGCCAGATGTCATGGCAGGGTCACATAGCTTCTCAGTGTGATCGATATTATGTTCCACAGAATTCGCAGCCTTCTGCTTATTCGGCCCAGCAAGCGGCCAGTGGCCCGGTAGGAAATTTTTCACCAGGGAATAGCTCAAATTCTGCCTGGGGTGGGAATGGCCAAACTCCTCGTGACGGTGGGAATATTCCCCAGTTTTCACCCTGCTCCCAAGAATAATGATATGCCTTTTAAACAGAAATCAGTAGCACGGGGTCCTCAGTTGCTACTGGAAAGATGACGAATGTATGCATGGACCATGATTTTGATAATTTGATTTGTTCTTTGAGATTACCCACTAGCTGGTATGCTATGGTTGATGTGAATGGCATTACTGTACGTTTCTCATTGATTCTGGTAGTGCTGCTACGCTTATAGATTATGCAGTTTTTTGTTCTATTGGTGGAAAGGAGTGTGAATTGTCTCCTTGTGATGTTTGTTTTCAAACTGCTAATGGTACTTCTCTGAAAGCTCGTGGTATGATTGATTTGAAAATTTGTATTGATTCTGTGTGTGCTGTTCAAAGAGTGATTGTTGCTGATCTTGGTGCCCCCTATGGTTTGCTTGGTATGGATTATTTCCAAAAGCATGACTGTGTTTTGCATATGTCTGTAGGTCAAATGGAGGTTGATGGTAAAACTGTTTCCCTGACTAAGCCTGTTTCGTCTGTTCCTAGTTGTAGAATTGTTGTAGATAAATGTGTGACTGTTCCCAGAGAGAGTGAGACGGTGGTTTATGGTCGTTTGAATTGCCCATGGAAACCCAATAGTGACGTCATAGCTGTGGCAGAGGCTGCGTGTGTGTTTGAGAGCGAGTATGGCCATCGTGGTTTATTTGTATTTCCCGGAGTGGTGGACGCCTCATGCTCTTTAGTGCCTCTCATGGTGGTCAATGTTAGCAAGGAAGCGGTAGAAATACCTGCGGATTTGCTAATTGGTTTACTATGCCCAAGAGAAAACCTGACTGTCTCTTCTCTGGAACAAGTGGTGCCTGGTGATGTCATGGACACCAGGGAACTACCTGAACATTTGAAGAAGCTCGTCGACGATCCAGAAGATTTAACGGTTGAACAACGTCAAAGTGTTCATGATTTGCTCATCGAATTTCAGGATATTTTTGCTGGTCCTGATGGCAAACTGGGACGAACTTCTGTAGTCAAACATAAGATTAAAACGTCAACATCTGAACCAATCAAAGTTCCACCGCGACGTATGGGATGGGCGAAAAGAGGAAATCGCAGAGAAACAAGTACAGAGCATGCTTGCTCAAGGTGTAATAGAACGAGTGAAAGTCCCTATAATTCGCCTATTGTTCTCGTTCCTAAGAAAGACGGAAGTTGTCGTTTTTGTATCGATTTCCGGAAAATTAACCTGGTAACCATCAAAGATGCCTACAGTTTGCCAAGAATTGATGATATTTTGGATGCATTGGGTAAAGCAAAGTGGTTTTCATCGTTGGACTTGGCGAGTGGGTACTGGCAAGTAGAACTCGACCCAGAAGATCGGGAAAAAACAGCATTCAGCTTGCCAGGAAATAATCATTTTCAATTCCGTGTTCTTGCCTTCGGTCTGGCCAATGCGCCATCTTGCTTCCAGCGTTTAATAGACAAAGTTTTGGCTGGAATTTTATGGAAAATATGTCTCGCATTTTTAGATGATATTTTGGCTTATGGCGAAAACTTTGATCTGGCCATGAGCAGCTTACGTGAAGTTTTTGTAAGAATTCGTGCTGCTGGACTTAAATCAAGCCGGAGAAGTGTAAACTTTTTTCGTCGTAAAGTGGAATATTTGGGACATGTAATATCTGAATATGGTGTAAGCTGTAGCGATAGAAAAATTGCTGCTGTTCGTGATTGGCCCAAGCCTGCTAATGTCAAAGAATTGCAGTCATTTCTTGGATTTTGTAATTATTACAGACAATTTGTTGAAGATTTCTCTACCATTGCACATCCTCTTGTTCATCTGACAAAGAAGAATTTGCTTGGACAAAGCAGTGTGATGTCGCTTTTCTTCGCTT